TAATTCAATGATTAATATGAATATTATAGTAGTTTTGTTTGTCTTGATATTTAAAATGTCTTTTCTCTTTTATTTGTATGTATTTTGGAGGTTTTTGACTTTTTTATAATTAGAATATTATCAATATCCTATCTTTTTGTTGTATGTTCTCATTGCTAATTTTTCATTCCACCTAAAACATTAATTCAGCTTAGAGAAACTAAACACCTGTGCCCAGCCTGACTTTGCCCACATGAACAATTGAACATTTTTTCTAAAAAGGGCATTTCCTGGAGGACCAGGGGACAAGAAGGGGGGCTTGGAGTTGGGCGTGGTCTTTTCACTCAAAAAAAACTGCTGCTTAAAGCTATAGTTTACACCCCAGACACTAAGATAATTGTTGAGCTACACACCTGAACCTAAGCCACTGAATTATCTCATTTAATAATTATCCAACTCGCTACTGAGGCATGTGTGAGATTTTGTTGGGTTTATCCCACTAGCGCAGAGAGACGCACGTAACACTGTACCAACTGACCCAATGAGAGGCCAGGCACAAAATTCAAATGTAGTGCCAGTCATTATTTGACTTTGTGGGTTGAGAGCAGATTTTCTGAGCTCATTAAGATGTAAGGGGGGGATGGCAGAAAATAATTGAGAGGCACAGGTCTAGTTGTATATAATCAATATATTTGTCATATTGTGGCTCATAAAAACAGCAGACTCGGTCACTGCACTCTCTTGTTCCATCGTCCCACATTTGCCATTCATTTTTCAATGCCAAAACCATCCTGCTAGAGATGCCATTGATTTGGAAGTGACTCCGATCGACCGGTGATGTCGGTGTTTCTGCTGATTCATCAGTAAAAAGTGCTGAGTCGTGAAACGTGTACTTGTGCTTGTGTAATGAAGGCTCCAGAGGATAGTTTTACACTGGTCGATCTTCAGTAAGACTCAGAAATACATTCAGTCCCATTGCAGCTCTGTTCAAATGTCACAACAGCTGAAGTGGATTATCTATGTTTAGTCAGTGATGGTTCGAGTCCTCTAACAGTGGACATTACCTCCTGCTTTTGTCATGCGGTGTAGGAGTCAATTCCGTAGTCCCAATAAGCAAAGATGATAAATATGGTAGATTTGAAAAGATTCATTGGCAAGAATTGGGCTTGTGTTTTTCTTTCAATAATGTGAGGCAGCCATCGGCCCCCTCTGACCACCACCACCATTCATTCAGATTCATACTGTTTCTGGGAGGTAGTGGAAACTGGAGCGGCCGGACGAAACCCACCCAGATACAGGGACACACATAAGTCCACTCAGAGAGGACCCTGAATCCAAAATCTTCTCGCTTTGAGGCATGTGCGCCAGCCCGACGCAGAGGGATGTACTTTTGAGAGATTGTGGCATTAAATTGTGCTCCTTCGAGATCCAATTGAAGTCGAAGTGACTCTGGTTCAACTTTAACTGAGTCTGCTGCCACTTGACTTCAGCCTCTGTCCTGGACTCATCTATAGCCTCTGTCCTGAACTCAGTCATAGCCTAGGTCCTGGACTACAGCCTCACTCCTGGACTATAGCCTCAAACCTGGGCACATCTAGAGCCTGGACTCATCTACAGTCTCAGTCCTGGATTCAGACATAGCCACAGTCTTGGACCCGGCTACAGCTGTCCCCCATTCCATCCATGGGAGTCAATCTCTTCTCGTTTGATTTCCCATTTGCTCAAATACATCTGAAATGTGATTAGATGTTTAGGTCCAAAAATACACATACAGAAACTCATCGACTTTTACAAAGATTTCAGACATTAAGAGAAATGTGACTTGCCCAAACCTGGAGCTGAGTAATCTACGCACTCAAATAATAACCGATGAGTCACGCACATCTGTCAGATAAAGACCAGCTGTTTTCTGCACACAGACCTACAGTGACTCCTTACAGTCCAGTGAAGCAAAGGCCACACTTCTACCTGCTTCCCCCAAACAAAGGGGCCTCTATACGAAGCCACTGTGGGGCTATTTGCATACGTGTGTACACCTCGGGGTCAGGAGGAGTAGGAGGGGTAGGTGGTGGGCATGTTGGGAGACTGACCCACTCTATATTTAGTCTCCCCCCCTTCACTCCCGCTACACGCTGCTCTCTCAGGGCAGTGTTGAAATTCCAGCTTCAACTCCTCTGGTCATATCTCCACAAGCAGCAAGAACAGTAAACTTTAATGACAACTGACTAGCGAGGAGAAGAAGGCGGTTTGCTAACACCTTTCCCTCACGCGACTTCCACTTCTACATGTTTCTTGCCTACGACTTTTTCAAGGTCACGCTCTCTGAGAGGAATCTTGGACCAGTCTAAGCTACAAACAGATAGTTGGGTTACGGTCTCATGTATCTCTTCAACATGGGGCCCTCTGCACTTTGCGATCAAGCGTTTCTGGAGGAAGACTTTGGTCTACGCTGCGTGACTTTCTAACTCCAATGTGTGGATTACGAGATGACGTCTTGCCGAAATTGGATTCAATGTTGGATATAGCTGCCACGCTACAATGGGAATACATACTTTTAGCTTTGGTTGAGTCTTTCTTCCTTTCATCTGGGACTCCCCCACTTGCAACTATCATGACAGGCATCGACATAGATTTATAATTCAACCAGATCTGTAGAATAACATTTCCGTACCGCCATGGAGGTCCCGACAAAGTGGAGCAGAGCTAGTGTGATCAGCTTCATCAAAGGCCTTGGTAAGCATACACTAGATCAGGGGTCTCCAGCCTTTACCTCCAGGAGAGCTACTACTGTATATCAGAACAAAATGGTGAGCTAATCTCTTTAGCAGGTGAGAGAAAGCACACATATTGAAGTCAGCAAGGCCTTAAAACAAAATATATTTCATTGGACACAGCTTTAGTCTTTATTACATTACGTGCGTGTATTTTAATTCAAATTTGAGCCATGTCTGACGACTTGAATGTTTGATAAGATAAAACTTTATTGATCTCACAATGGAGAAGTTTTGGCTTCTTTTGCAGCCTCACCTTACATACACATAAAACAATATATTATGATGTTTTAGTGCACAAAAAACGTCTTATTACTAGAAATAAAAGTATTTGGTTTGCACTTACAACAGCTGTGATGTTCTCTTTTTTGTTTTCCTGTACATATTTCTTTTTCAATATGCAATATACTGTGTGTATTGCTAAGGCATGGCTAGCCACTGTTTGTAGATCCCTGCACTAGATGAAGCTGCTGTATATTTCACGTGCGTTCGAGCTTGCGTCACGTCATATTCGGTTACACAGGCCGCGAGAAATGTCTGCCATTAGTCCTGTTACCGCTCACCTCGACAGCGAAACAAGAAGAGAAGGGTCACATGGTCAACACGGGTCAAGCAGCCCCGACTGAGCTCTCGATTGAGCTGTTCAACAGATATTATTAGAGATGAGAAAGTGCACTGCAAAAAGTGATGAGAACTAATTAAAAAAATGCTTGAATTTGGCTAAATTGAATAATACATTTGCCAATGGGACAATCCAAAAGTAAATATTCAGTAGTACAGATGTACATTATAAAGACCAAAAAAAAACAATCCCTCAGTCGTATGCACAGCTAAACAGAACTGTTTTTAACCTGGATTTGAATATTGTCAGAGTAGCAGCTTGTCTCACATTTTTACAAAGACTTTAGCTGATTTTAGCTGCATAAATCTGAAACACTGCCTCCCCATATTCATGTAGTAACATTTCTGACACCTCCTGCTTAAAACCCAAAAACTCAAAGGATCCAGTACGCTTGCAATGGCCGCACTGAACAATAGACGTTTGAAAAGCACTTTGCACATATCTCTATCTTAGAGCTCCTCACGTCATAAATTGAGTGATATCTTTCTATTTTAGATCTATATCAATACTCCCCTGCTGAGTATCCGTCAGTGTGTTTGTTGTCTCTCTCACTAATGTAACCTCTTATGGCATATCTTTCTGGCCGCCATTACGTCTTATGAGAGCTCTATCGACATGAGGTAATCCCATGAGGGGAAAAGACGATAAGGTTCTCCTGTTGGACCTGTTGGTGTTTTTGAGAATCTGGGAAGAAATGTTTTGGGTCAAATGTGGCACTCTTTCGGTGCAACTAAATATAGTCACGGCTACAGACACTTTGCTTCAGTCCAGGGTTTTTTACTATACTGCAAAAAGATATTTACAGAAAATGCAAAAGATAGATGTGTTTGTGTGTAACCAAACTTCCTGTGTAGTATCAATTCAATGTATTTTTGTATAGACTTAAATTACAACAGCAGTGGTCTTGGAGGACTGTACAAAGTGGCAGATTCATCAACAACAGATCAGAGAATCAAATAGATAGAACACAGGAAATGAGACAATTACAAATACATAGAGAGCGACATGACCTCTGTCAATAAATGTTAATTAACGTGCATAAACGGTTAATATGGCTGCCATGGCATGTTATACATAATTTTTAAAGATAGTTAGGAAATGACCACATGTTATTCTCAACATTGAACTTAATAAAAAGTTTAAATGTATTTACTATTGAAAAAATATAGATGGTACTTTGATACATTGATACATGGCATATTTTTTTAATTATTATCAATCTTTATTAAGGACACAATACAACACGGCCCATAGTTAAAAGAAAATATCATAAAGACATAACTGAACCAACAAAACTGGTTCTGTTTAGACATTTCTACCAGGAAATAATATTATAATGATACATTTGTACAAAAATACCTCCATGGCTTGAAATATGAAAAGAAAAAAAGCATGGATACAATTGAATTACATTTATTTTTGTGTAGCCCTAAATCACAACTGCAGTTTCAGAGGATTTTACAAAGTTGTTGATTCACCAACAACAGATCCGAAAATCAAATGGTTCAAAGACAGGAAATGCAATAATAACAAACACATAGTCTTTAGGGAGCGGGATGAACACTGTCCAACTCAAAAAACCCCAGTGTCATATCTTAAATAATCCTATATCTCCTCTTTCTCCGCAGCCTCGCCAGTGAAGCCGCCCGTCCCGCCCGTCAGTGGAACAGTGGAGAGAAAGGGTCCTGTCGTCATGGCGCCGGTCAACGTGGACCCGGAGAGTAAACCGGGCGAGTTCGTCCTCAAGAGTCTGTTCGCCAACTTCACTCTGCTGTCGGAGCGCAAGATCCGCATCATCATGGCCGAACCACTGGTGAGGGATTTTAGTTCTAGTCACTTCTCAATTAAATGTTTTTATTTCTGATACGTGATTATTTACCATATTTGTTGTAAAATGGGTCGTTTGTTTCTTGGGGGCGACAGTGGCTCAGTTGGTAGAGCATTGGCCTTAGAGCCTAAAGATCGTGGTTTCAAGCCCACCACGAGACCTACTTCACGACTCCCACTGTCTGCTGCCGTTGTGTCCTTGGGCAAAACACTTACCCCCACTTTGCCTGAAGCCCCCGCTAAATAATCAAGGCTCCTGTGGACTCACAAGCTGCAAGAGGATCAGTGAGGGGCTGGTGCTAAGTGTACTGGGTGCAGCTCTGACTGCCATCCCCCCGACCCAGAAATGGATTAAGGGGAAGAAAATGGATGGATGGATGGATTGTTTCTACGTGACCATTGTTTTTGGCATTATTTCATCCGTCACTTCACACTATCTTTAGCTGATTCACTTATTCAATAATGAGTAAATATACGACCGGTACGTGTTCTTCTGAGTCATCAATGCCCTCCCTTCAGACCCTGTTTCTGTTCATTTATTTAAAAAACAATGCAAAGCAATTTTATTTGTATAGCACAGTTTATGCACAAGGAGTGCTTCACTGCATTCAAATAATAAATAAATAATCACAGTACATTAGAGTGAACATACAATCCTTCAGCTGAAAGCATTTGAACAGAACTATTGTCAGAGGAGAAGCCTATCGATTATCAGGAAGACTTATTTATTTTAGCTGCATAAATCTGAAAAACCGCTTCCCAATTTTTTGTCCCGAATTGGTCAGGAGGCCAATCCCTATGGCCTCCTGACCCCATAGGAGGCCAAACCCCCCCCCACACACACACACACTCCACACTCAACACTACTACTCTAGCAACAGCTGCCCTGGGGCACACTGACCAAAGGGAGGCAACCAGTCTGTGCCATCGGCCCCTCCCACCACCACTAACCATTCACACACACTAGACTCACTCTAATGTGGGTGAAGTGTCACAACAACAGTTTGCAGCCGCCCACCTGTGGCACCTGGTGTTCCAGATGTCTCGCATCACAGTACTATCCAGGCCATGTACTGCTTAGCTTCTGAGTTCTGACGGGATTTGGCTTTCACTTGTAGGTGTAAAGCTTTTGTAAGCTTAAAGATGTCATGGATGTCAGTAATACATTATTATCCCTGTGGGGAAATCCTTCTTTGCTTCTGTCAGGAGCAGTGGACACCATAGTCCAGAACCCGGGGCCCATCTCCAGATGTCGATGCTCTTGGTCAGGACCAGAGCTGGAGGACGTTACTTATTGTATATGTTTTTAGTGGTAGGGTTAGAGCACCCGGAGGAAACCTACACAGACAAGAGAGAACATGCAAACTCCATTCAGAAAGGCCCTGGTCCAAGAGTTCTAACCACTTTGCCACCAATGATGAACTTTAAATACTGTGATCTGGGGGATATCAATCTCTACTTTAGATAATCTATTATTTACTTTATCTACTTATTAGCCTGCCCTATATGTACAGTATATACAGTAACTCTGCATTACTACAGCCATCCATCCATCCATTTTCTTCCCCTTAATCCTTTTCTGGGTTGGGGGGTGGCAGTCAGAGCTGCACCCAGTCACAGAGCACCAGCCCCTCATTGATCCTCCTGCAGGTGGTGAGTCCACAGGAGCTGAGATCTTTCAGCGGGGGCTTCAGGCAAAGTGGGGTTAAGTGTCTTGCCCAAGGACACAACGACAGCAGACATCAGTGGGAGTCGTGAAGTAGGTCTTATGGTGGGCTCGAACCCACAACCTTCAGGCTCAAAAGCCAATGCTCTACCAACTGAGCCACTGTCGCCCATTACTACATATTGTATATATATTCTTTTGACTGGTATTGAAGCATTTACAGCATCTACAGCTAGTTAAGAAACATAGCTACTACTTATTTTGTATTTTGTATATTTTGTGTGCTCCCTGTGTCTCTTACTACTATCCTGTATGTGCACTGCAACATTGAAATTTCCCCACTGTGGGACAAATGAAGGAACTCTTTTTAAAGTCCAATCAGGCTGACCTTGCTTACCTCCATGTGTTTTTATCTTTCAGGAGAAGCCTCTGAACAAGTCTCTTCAGAGAGGAGAGGACCCTCAATTTGATCAGGTCAGTACTTGACTCCTGCGACACCGGACTGAGAGTCGGATTCGGTCTCTCCGGTCCCAGGTCCAGGTCTCACTATCATCTGTGTTGTGTGCAGCTGATGAGCAGCATGAGCTCTCTGGCGGAGTACTGCCTTCCCTCCATCCTCCGGACCCTGTTTGACTGGTACAAGAGGCAGAACGGCCTGGAGGACGAGTCGCACGAGTACAGACCCAGAGCCAACACCAAGTCCAAGAAGTGAGAATCGCACACACGGATCATTTTATCATGTCAAGCCTTGGCATTAACCGTACTGTATATTAGGACTGGACGAAGTCATTGTGACATCAATCAATCTATCAATCAAATGTTTTTATAACGCACCATTCGTACAGTGTAACCCAAAGTGATTCACAAGCAATTAAAAGACAGACAATAAAACATTACAACAGTGTATGTACATATAAGTAAGTGAGTAAATGATTAAGTAATGTTTATTTATATAGCGCATTTTTACAGACCAAGGTCACCCAAAGCGCTTTACAATGTTCAGAGTTAAGATTCTGTTCCAGTCACTTCACACACGGTGATGAAGGAAGCAAGTCGCTGAACACACTGGAGCATCAAAGCCCCCAACCAACACCATCCATTCACTCTCTCATTTACAATCTTAGTGTAGGGGAAACCAGAGCACCCGGAGGAACGAGGGAGAACATGCAAACTCCACTCAGAAAGGCCCTGCTCCGACCGGGATTCGAAACCAGGACCTTCTTGCTGAGAAGCGAGAGTGCCGCCCAATAAATAAAATATGTAAGGGATAACGTATATTACGCAGGTCATTATCGGAAAATAAGTACCGACAGGGCGAAGCGGACCCCGACGCGCAAATAAGGTTTATTTAATGACAGAAAATAAAATAGTTCCCAAAGGTTTTGTTTAGTTCCCCGTGGCTATGCTAGTGCAACAGTTAGGCTGGCAACTTCCAAACTAGAACTCCCTGGAACTGCATGAAAGAATTCTGAACATCAGCGGTGAGTGACCCATGTGAAAAATGTGCCGGTATCTACTTCCGGGTTTTTCGGGATTGCATTTTCTCGCATTACATCAGTGTTTTTGTCATGAAAACGTAAACGGAAAATTCTGAAAACTTCCGTCCACTTGTATTAAGACTGGATATGTATAAATTACTCTCCGATTAATATTTCATTGCGTTGATTGATTGGCATTTGCGTTTATTGAGCAGCCGGAACTACTTCCGGGTTTTTCACGATCGCTTTTTGACGCAGAGAAATAGTATTTTTGTCATAAAGACAAGACCAGAAAATTCTGAAAATTTCCGTGCACGTGTGTGAAGAATGTATATGTATAAGTATTCTCTGATTAACATTTAAGTGTGTTGATTGAGCGTGGCTAGCTCCGGAGTGGCCGGAACTACTTGCGGAGTTATCCACGCATTTGAAAGACAAGCAGAGAGTGCGTTGCCATGGGCAGCGGTCATTATTGTTTTGAGAGGTCCGTTATAGAAAATAATGACCGGTAGAACGTTTTGAAATTACATTCAAATCAATGGAGCATTCTACTGCTGCTGTGAGGAGCCGTATAATAAATTGTATTAAAAAAGATAAAATAAATGCTTCAAATTAGTCAAATGCAAACCTGAATGATACAGTTTTCAGCCTGGACTTAAACAGTGCCAGGGACGAGGCCTGTCTCACAAGCTCAGGGAGACTGTTCCAAATTCTGGCCGTGTACATTTGAAACGCTGCCTTCCCATGTTTAGTCCTGACCCTAGGTACCAGCAGGAGGCCAGTCCCTGTGCTCTTCAGAGTCAGAGCCGGTGTTCTGTCGAGTTGTGCCGCCTCAGCTGTTTCTGATGTAATGCAAACCTGCGCATGCAAGTTTCATGGCAGCCAAAGCAATCCAAGATGGCCGACATAAAGTCCGTGAATTGTGTAAAAAGTTTAAATACAAACGAATTAAGACACGAATGTCACTTTTATTGCAATTTGAGGCGAGATGCTGATGGTTCCATGTTGTTATATGTGGGTTTTAAGAGTCAAAGATTCGAAGAAGATCATTTTGCTTTGTCCCATTGGCATATCTTGTTTTAGAGTCAAAATGTGCTCAAACTTTAATACATTTAGCCAAATTTCTGCAATTTCTGACTTATTTTTCAGAATTTTTTGCACTGTTCAGAGAAACAAATCTGTATCTGTGCTGCAATTTTAACATTCATATTTCTCAAAAACATAAAACTAGAGTCAAAGTGTCATGGGGTGATTTTTTGATCGTAACATTGGGAAAGAAAGTCAGTTCATACACAAGCCAACTCTGTGAATTCTGATTATGATTTCCAAGCCTACTTTGTGCACTGCAAAAAATTATCAAATATGAGGTCATAATTCTCAAGGGACAAAGCCATTTAGTCAAAATTCAAGAAATGTTGCTTTATTCACTCATTCCAAAGGAGACATAACATTTTGCAAGTTGACACATTTTTATCACTTTTTGCTGTGTGTTAGCAAGGCCACATAACATGAGAAAGAGGGCCGCAGTTGGTGCATGGGCCTCAGTTTGGACATGTCTGATGTGAGTGCGAATATTGATAATTGTGTTTTGTGTCGCAGCGATGAGCAACAAAAGGATTATCTACTGGAGCGGAGAGACATGGCGATTGACTTCATCTTCTCTCTGGTTCTAATAGAAGTTTTAAAACAGGTGAGTGACTTTTTACACGTCCATAATAACGCTACAGGCTACACCAATGTCAATTATTTTGTATATTTTGGATCTATCGTTACAATCAGCTCAAGTGTACGTTTCTATTGTTATCTCTGGAACACACAGAGAGAAAGAGCCAAGTGCGTTTTAATATGCTAATGTATTGGCATGGCCTAAATATGAAATGTGATGATTATTTCAACACTTTGCATAACAGACAATGCGGCAAAGTGTTATCCCTCTCTGCTCCGTTGTGAGAACTCAATTAAAGCCGGGGTACCTAATAAATAATACATTTTTTTGAGTATTGTCGAAGCAAAAAGTTGTGAACAAATCAGAGCACAACCAGCTGTCTTTATGCTATTATATTATTATTATTTTACATACTTGTAGGAAAGAGTTCTGGGAGTCACTATTTGACAATTTGGGTTGAGTGCTGATTAGCTGAGTGAGTGTGGTTCTCTCTTTTTTAACTTTTCTGTCTGAAAAAGCTAATCTACATTGCAAATAATGATGAAATATGAGGTAATAATTGCTTGAATCTAGCGGTTTTTATCTTAGTCTGAGCTCATTCTGAATGTGTTAAAACAAGATTCTCCAACGGGACAAAGCCATTTAGTCTAATTTCAAAAACTGTTGCTTTATTTTCTCATTCCAAGGTAGAAATGTCTTTTATCTTTTTAAAACAAGATCATTATGCGTTGTCCCATTGTCAAATCTTGTTTTAATACAGTCAGAATGTGCTCTAAACAATTTGAGCAATTTCTTTACTTATTTTTCATTACTTTTTTGCAGTGTAAAGATGAGACAGAGGTCAAAAATACATTAATTGCAAACTAAACTGAGTGCAAATAACTAGTTAGATGGACTTGGATACATAGTTTAAATATTTGTGGTTTGAAAGTTAGGTACCCCAAGCTTTAAAGTGTTGTACTAAACATAGAAATAACCCTAACCGTATATATGTGTCCTCCTTCTCCAGATCCCCCTCCACCCTCTGTTAGACGGACTCATTCAAGAAGTCATTAACCTGGCCTTCAAACACTTCAAATACAAAGAAGGGTACATTTCTCTTATTTCCATGGCATTTCTTTCTGGTCTTCGGTTTTACTTTCTTTGTCCTGATTGCAGGTATTTGGGACCCAACACTGGCAACATGCACATCGTGGCCGACCTGTACGCGGAGGTGGTGGGAGTGGTTGCCCAGTCCAGGTACGAGATCCCACAGGAAGACGTTTACAAAGGAAAAGGGAGAATGATATTAACGGCAGAGTCCAGCGATTCTCAATCTGTGTTACATGTACCACAGGGGGCCGTTGGAGTTCTCTGCAGTTTACTTATGGCGGGCGGGTTCACACTTGGTCTGGCTCACTTTAACTGGACCAAGTCTGGTTCAAAAATCTGATCTTAAGACATGGCAAAGGCCAATGATAATAATAAGGGCCGGGACTTTAACGCGTTAATTAAGATTTATTAATTACACAAAAATTAGCGCGTTACATTTTTTACGCATTTTAATTGTTATCTCCCTTTTTGCACCTCGGAACATTTCTCACTGGATGAGTTTCAGACGGATTGCTTGTACTGGAGCACCGCACGATTGATAGGCTTGTCTCCCAACCTCCCAATGACAGAAGTGACTCAGAGAAACACTGTTCCCACCGTCTCTGTTCAAAGTGTATAAAGTTGCACTCGTTTCGCTATGATTGGCCCCGTGGATGGGAAGTATATTTCTAAATATGGTATGGCAAAAATTGCACTGGTCTGTTGGACTTGAACTAAAATAAACAATATTTTTGTTGCTTAAGCTTATGTGTTCAGTCATTATTCAATGGTATACTAAAAATTCATGTGGACAAATGACTTTTTACTGTTCTCAGGTCAAATATTTATATGCGATTAAAATGTGATTAATTACGATGAATTATTTATTTCATTGTTTATTTGGTTGGGACAGTACATGTTAATGAACACATCACTCCGAATTGTAGCCATGGGCTAATTTCCATCCAAGTTTTTAGTGGTAGGTGAAACCGGAGTACCCAGAGGAAACCTACGCAGTACGGGGAGAACATGCAAACTCCACTCAGAAAGGCCCTGTTCTGATTAGTTACAAAGCCTCTAATTAATTAGATTTTTTTTTTTGAGTCCCAGCCCTGATAGTTACATGTATTTTATTTAATCGTTAATGTTGTGGTTTAAGATTTTGGTACTCCAGCTTTAAGTTAAGTCACTCTGGTAAACCACACTGGAGATTCCCAGTCAGACTCGACCTTGTATTCTCTGCTCGCTGCTGCTTTTACGGAGAGGAGTAGGAGAAATCCGGACCGCACAAGCAGCTGTGAAAACCTGAATTTGCAGTAGCTACCTGTCCTCCTTTTGACCCCGTTCAGATGTAATTCCACGTGGCGGCCATATGTCCCTGGAGCAGTCGAGCCGTTTGCCTCATATGACGACACAGAATACTTTCTTCTCTTAGATATATTTAAGATTTGACTCAAAATGCAAGTTTGGTAAAGTTTTATAAAGTTTCTTCCTGGTTGGATGTGAGCAGCAGATGTAGATAGAGTTACCGCAGCAACCAAAAAGTAAACAGAGGCCAATTATTATCTTGTCTGTGGAATGATAAACGAGTATGAGACGGCGTCTGAATCCTGTTGATTTATTGTTTAAACTAACATAAAGTACATTTGATAGATTCATATTGAAGCTATCACCTTTGTATGTGTTTTAATACAAAGTACATTTTTCTTTGATATGTAATTTTGCTTAGCCTTGCTCCAGCTGACTTTTAGCCCCGCCTACATAAAGCTCACTTGTCGTACGGGTTACTGATGCAATCCACCTGCTGGGTTTTTAGCTATAAACAGCAACCACTGTGTGTATTATGTATGACTATGTATTTTTGTATTTGCACCCAAAACATTTTTGTGCAGTTTTTTGAAATTATATAAAAAAATATGGAGCCATGACCAATTAAAACAATCATACATATAATGTAAATCATAACCATTGCATTATTTATTACAAATAACAGATGTAGATGGGATTTATTATAAAAAAGAACTCAACATGCTTTCTCCATATTATTAATCCAATAACATTTATGAGTGTACAATCCTAAATCAAAACAGCAGTCGTCTCAAAGGACTTTACAAAGCCGTCGATTCGCCATCACAGATCAGAGAATCAAACACAAGAAATGCAATGATCAAAAAAACACATAGAGCCATTGGTCCATAAGATGACCAATGCCCAAAAAAGTTAATATTGTCCAGTCTTTTACATACTGAGACCCGCCACACAAACCCGCTGTAACAGAGGCCAAACATACATGCATGAAAAAACTAGACATAAACCCAAACTCAACCAGGAACAAGTTCATTTCTTTGTCTATTATCACATAGTTGCAGTAGTTTTGTGGCTTCTGCTGCTTTCACCCTACAGTATTTCAAGTACGTACGTAAAGTTTATTTGTATAGCGCATTTCACAGACCAGGATCACAAAGCGCTTCACACATTAAAACACATATAATACACATACAAGTCAGATTAAAACAAAAGCACATTTCTTTGTCAATCTGAGTCTCATTCCGACCGTGTTTATTTTGCCTGCGTCGGAACACTACTCGGCACCAGACGTGATCTGGTGATGACTCCTCCACTCACTTATCAGCGGTGCCAGCCCATGTGAAGCACGCAAAGCCCCATAGACACCAGTTCACGGCACATCACCCCTCCACATGCCTTTCTATATTTAGCCTGGGCAGCCGAGACGTGTTGCTAAAATCTGTCCACATCTACTGCAGACACAAAACGCCCAAGTCTTAAACATTACTCACTGTTTTTTCCTGTTTTAATCATGGAAGAATTTACAGTGAAAACATACGTGTTGTGTGTGTGTTTTTGGCAGGTTCCCAGCCGTGAGAAAGAAGTTTATTTCGGAGCTTAAGGAGCTGAAGCAAAAGGAGCAGAGTTCCTACGTGATACAGTCCACCATCAGCCTGATCATGGGGCTCAAGTTTTTCAGAATTAAAATGTACCCAGTGGAGGATTTTGAGGCTTCCTTTCAGTTCATGCAGGTAAAGTGATAATACAGTGGTTACGGTATTTTGCTGATTTGAGTGCGTGTAATTTTGTGTGTGTAACTCCAACAACATCAAACACAACATCGTATAAGCACTAGTAAAACATGACAGTTACCTTAAATTAAAGTTAAAGTTAGAAATACACCATTGTGACTTGTGAGACTGCAATCTCTCTCTGGTCGCTCTCTGGTCTCTCTCTCTCTCTTGTCCCCTCTCTTGTCTCTCTCTGGTCTCTCTCTCTCTCTGGTCTCTCTCTTGTCTCTCTCTGATCCCTCTCTCTCTCTCTGGTCTCTCTCTGGGCACACTCTCTGGTCTCTCTCTCCCTCTGGTCTCTCTCTCTATCTGGTCTCTCTCTCTGGGGTCTCTCTTTGGTTCTCACTGGTCTCTCTCTGGGATAACTCTCTGTTTTCTCTCTCTGGTCACTCTCTGGTCTCTCTCTCTGGTCTCTCCCTCTGGTCTCTCTCCAGTCTCTCTCTGATCCTCTCGTAGCCCTCAGTCCTGCTCCTGCCTCCCTGTCTCCTCTACAGCTGTATTTTACAGTGTATGCACGGCTTTTGACAGCTGCAACAGCACTCTACCTACAACCAACAGCTTTGATATCTCTGGTCTCTCTCTCTGGTCTCTCTCTGGTCTCTCTGGGATCGCTCTCTGGTCTCTCTCTAGTCTCTCTTTTTCTGGTCTTTCTCTCTCTGATCTCCCTCTCTCTCTCAGGTCTCCATCTGGTCTTTCTCTCTGGTCTCTCTCTGGTGTCTCCCTCTCTTGTCTCTGGGCTCTCTCTGGTCTCTTTCACTAGTCTCTCATTGGTCTATCGCTGATCTCTCCGGTCTCTCTCTGATCTTCCCAAAGCCCTCAGTCCTGCCTCCCAGTCTCCTCTGCAGCTGTATTTGACAGTGTATGCACGGCTTTGGACAGCTGCAGCAGCGCTCAGACCTACAACCAACAGCTTTGATATCTCTGGTCTCTCTCACTTCAGCAGTCATGACTTCAGGTGGCTAGAAAAGTCCAGGTCTCCCACATCTCTCTCTGTTCTGGTCCTTTCTCTGCTGAGATGTTCCACTGAAGTAATTAGGGGTTAAGTGCTGTGTTTATTGGTTTTGTGATGCTGAATGCACTCCTGTTTCCCATTTCCGCTGCTGATAATGACTGTGGGCTTTACTTCGGCAGCGTTTTAGGAAGCCTGTATGCCAAACACTGATCGACTCTGTGATCTCTGTCCTCAGGAATGTGCGCAGTATTTCTTGGACGTGAAGGACAAAGACATCAAACACTCGTTATCGGGACTCTTCGTGGAGATTCTTGTCCCTGTCGCTGCTGTAAGTGATTTTACACAGTGAGGAAACATCAAGGCATAGTCATAATTATTATTTTTTATATTGTATTGATATGGAAGCTTTTACACCTAGCTACACTGTCAAAAACAAGTCAAAAAGTGTGTAACTTTGGCTAACAATACTTTGATTTGTGCAAATTCTGACAGCCTTAAAACAAGATTTGCAAATGGTACAAGGCAAAATGATCTTGTTTTAAAAAGATACAATAGATTTTTCCCTTGAAATAAGGAAATAGAGCAACAGATCTTGATCTTAGAGTAAATGGCTTTGTCCCATTGGCAAATCTGGTTTTAAAAAATTGGGAAAAGTTCTCTCGGTTCAAGCATTTATCACCTCATATTTCATAATTTTTGCAGTGTATGAAACATAGCAGCTGCTTACATTGTATATTTTGTGTAACATTGAGATTTCCCCACTATGGGAAGAATAACCAGGAAAGTCGCATTGAGATTAAGAACCTGTTTTTCAAGGGAGTCCTGGATTTACACACAATACCGTAAAATTACAGATTATAAAAACAGTTACATGTCAATGCGGACTTGTTTTTCACCACTTTTTGCAGTGTAGCTAGCTGTAAAAGCTCCAATATCAATAAAAAATAAAAAACCTGGATTTAAAAGCATTCAATGAAATAAATTCTGTTAATTCTTTTTTGTGGCACGTTCCATGTAGAAGGAGTAGAAATTGAGATATTGTATTGTATGATTTCTTATTAGTAGCTAAATCATATTTACAGTGCCTTGCGAAAAGTATTGGACCTTTCAACATTTCGCCACATTTCAGGCTTCAAACATAAAGATATAAAATTTAAATCTTTTGTCATGAATCAACAAGTGGGACACAATCGTGAAGTGGAACGAAATTTATTGGATAATTTTAACTTTTTTAACAAATAAAAAACTGAAAAGTGGGGCGTGCAATATTATTTGGCCCCTTTACTTTCAGTGCAGCAAACTCAGTCCAGAATTTCAGTGAGGATCTTTGAATGATCCAAAGTTGTCCTAAATTACTGATGATGATAAATAGAATGCACCTGTGTGTAATCAAGTCTCCGTATAAATGCACCTGCTCTTTGATAGTCTCAGGGTTCTGTTTAAAGCGCAGAGAGAACCATGAAGACAAAGGAACACACCAGGCAGGTCCGAGATACTGTTGTGGAGAAGTTTAAAGCCGGATTTGGATACAAAAAGATTTCCCAAGCTTTAAACATCTCAAGGAGCACTGTGCAAGCAATTATATTGAAATGGAAGGAGTATCAGACCACTGCAAACTTTCATCTCAAACAAGGAGAAGACTGATCAGAGATGCAGCCAAGAGGCCCATGATCACTCTGGATGAACTGCAGATAACTACAGCTGAGGTGGGAGAGTCTGTCCATAGGACAACAATCAGTCATGCACTGCACAAATCTGGCCTTTATGGAAGAGTGGCAAGAAGAAAGCCATTTCTCAAAGATATCCATAAAAAGTCTCGTTTAAAGTTTGCCACAAGCCACCTGGGAGACACACCAAACATGTGGAAGAAGGTGCTCTGGTCAGATGAAACCAAAATCAAACTTTTTGGCCACAATGCAAAACGATATGTTTGGCGTAAAAGCAACACAGCTCATCACCCTGAACACACCATCCCCACTGTCAAACATGGTGGTGGCAGCATCATGGTTTGGGCCTGCTTTTCTTCAGCAGGGACAGGGAAGATGGCTAAAATTGATGGGAAGATGGATGGAGCCAAATACAGGACCATTCTGGAAGAAAACCTGTTGGAGTCTGCAAAAGACCTGAGACTGGGACGGAGATTTATCTTCCAACAGGACAATGATCCAAAACATAAAGCCAAATCTACAATGGAATGGTTCACAAATAGACGTATCCAGGTGTTAGAATGGCCAAGTCAAAGTCCAGACCTGAATCCAATCGAGAATCTATGGAAAGAGCTGAAGACTGCTGTTCACAAACGCTCTCCATCCAACCTCACTGAGCTCGAGCTGTTTAGCAAGGAAGAATGGGCAAGAATTCCAGTCTCTCGATGTACAAAACTGATAGAGACATACCCCAAGCGACTTGCAGCTGTAATTGCAGCAAAAGGTGGCGCTACAAAGTATTAGCGCAAGGGGGCCGAATAATATTGCACGCCCCACTTTTCAGTTTTTTATTCGTTAAAAAAGTTGAAATTATCCAATAAATTTTGTTCCACTTCACGATTGTGTCCCACTTGTTGTTGATTCTTGACAAAAAATGTAATTTTTTATATTTTTATATTTGAAGCCTGAAATGTGGCGAAATGTTGAAAGGTTCAAGGGAGCCGAATACTTTCGCAAGGCACTGTATATATACAGCACATTTCACAGATGGGTGTGTGTTGGGGAAAAAGTACTTTCATATTTACATTTCTGTGAATATAATATAACATAGCTCGATCGATTAGTTAACTAAAACGAGGCAACGAGGCAATAACACAAACCTAAAGATTTTACTGGTAATTCTTTGTAAACTATTTTCTCATATGCAGTTGCAGGCGCATAAACAATTTTTGCTTAATGCTTGTAAATATGATGTAACTTCATCTAAAATGGGATATTAAACCAGAGTCATTTATCTTTGGTCTTAGAACTTGACTCTGCGTTTTTTGTTGTAATTGTCACGTTCTGCTGAGCCACTTCCCATTTCTGCGGTTGTCCCTCTATTCACATTATCTAAATTAAAATCAGACACATTTCGTCTCCATCTGCTCTTCAAAGTGAATGACAGTAACTTTGCAAATTGTGGAAATACAGAGAATTTTGTTACGCAAGCATCAGTTAAATCTGCTTTTGCTTACTGATTGGACAAAATGAATTCCTCTCTCCTCATTGGTTAAAGTATGTACAGTATTCTCCGTCGGCAAGTCTTATTGGAGGTGGTTATGCCAAGCAGAAAGAAATACATTCAATATATCAATATAAAACGTTTTAAAGATGGGATTACCTATTTCACATGGTGGCTGCTAAAACAATTAAGGGCTCAAATGAAATCTGTCAAAAACAGAAAAAGTCAAATTGATGTTTTTCTTCTGTGACTAACTCTTAATATTTTTGCCTCCAGACTGTGAAGAACGAGGTGAACGTGCCGTGTCTGAGGAACTTTGTGGAGAGTCTGTACGACATCACACTGGACCTGTCCTCCCGAAAGAAACACTCTCTGGTCAGTTCACGTCACTTTAAGAGACCCCCAAGTGTTTGTTAGCAAGTCTTAGCTTCATTAGCAAGAGTTTGTCGCTTTAACAAGTAGCCGTATTAGCGAGAATTATCCACTTTAGCAAGAGTTAGCTTAAGTAGTAGTGCTGGCAAAACTTAACCATATTAGCAAGAGTTAGCCACATTAGGAAAAGTTAGCTGGAGTTAGCCATGTTAGCAAGAGTTAGCCACATCAGCACAAGTTAGCAACTTTACCAAGAGCTAGCCAGAGTTAGCCGCCTTGGGAATGTGCTTTTGGTTGCTCAAACAATAAAACTCCCAAAATGTAGATAATAAAAGTAATTGTAAGTGAACTATTTATTGTATTAAATCCCTTTAAAGTGTATGTGTAGGTCTAGCGCTGCAGATACAAGAAATCATTGAAAAATCCTACATCAGTAAGTTGTAAAAATATAAGTTGTAAAAAAGTATTTCTTTTGTAAATCTTACTAGAAATGTGTCAATTTGATATAGACCCATACTTCAGATCTCCCAGTGAGCCCTTATCCTCACTTGGAATAGCAGTAATGTAAATCATTCGGACATTGTGATCTTGTTTTTATTGCATTGCGCATCATTATAAATAGTTGTATTGCACAAAAACATATTTAAAATATGAATAATCATCATGACATCATTAGTAATAATTGTAATGATGAAAAGACTGCATCAGCTGCTTTTATAACTGTCATTGCGCAAGAAAACTATTAATAGCTCCACTTACAGACCCAATAACAAATGACTATGAACATTCCAGGCCGCTGTTGCTGCTTAAAGGCCGCTTTGTTGTGGGTAGACACCTTCTGTCCTGAAATATGCCTGTTTGTGAATTCTCTAAATTCTTAAACGAGAGGAGAATGCTTGAAACGTGACCACACCTTCTCAGACACAAAAAACAGCAACATGAGAGACTCGACGGAGCACAAGAAATGTCAGGCACGATTGCGAGGAGGTGAATTTCCCTAATTGTTTGTTCTTCGTGCTGGGCAAGGCAGTGAAATGACAGACTTCAGACAGGTATCAGGCTCTCACCTTGATAAGAGACGTCAGGTTGATGGTGTCTCCGGGTTTGACAAAGGTTTAATACGAGGGTGTACCCAGACCTCAGTGATAGATAGGAGCGTGTTTTGACGATAAACTATGATCTATGCTAACGTGAGCAAGCCACACTGCAGAAACCACCACACCAACACCTTAGTGCAAGCGTGGGAGTCTTACCACCGTCTGCCCATCCCGCCTTAGGTCTAAACATGTCCACAGTGCTTCATATGAGCATAGTGCAGGGATGTCAAAGTCAAATGTCAGACGCATAATTTTCATTGTAAGAAACAAGTCACAAACAAGGAATCTAAAAAAGTTAAAATAAAAAATAGAAAACATTTGAAAAATCTTCCATCCATCCATCCATTTTCTTCCCCTTAATCCATTTCTGGGTCGGGGGGTGGCAGTCAGAGCTGCACCCAGTACACAGAGCACCAGCCATTGAAAAATCTTGTTAAATTCAAATAAGTATTCTAACAGAAGTGATAAAAGTGACAGACGTGTATATGTTGGTTGGAAAGAGCTGGGATCCAGTGATGAAATAGTTGTGTTTTGAAATCATTGCTCCTTTAAAGCACAAAGTATTATTATAATACTTTGTGGGGGTCTCAACAGGGGTCTAGGGCTGTCATGTGAGTCACTATGTATTTATTTTATTTGTCTACAGTATTACTTGACATACTACTTTACAAATAACTGTAGTCCGGCCACAACATTTAAAAAATATTCGTTGCCTGTCGGTGTCTTTATAACATACAAAATAAACTGTTTTTGTTTATTTCATATGGACTGCAGCATCCTTTTTATAACTGGTTTATTCATTTTTTTTTTTCTTTTAATTTCCTCAACTTTATCTTTTTTTATTTTAAAATTAATGGGCTGAGAGCTGGTCCTCCCTTAAATACATGATGGAACAAAACTGTCTTGAGAGAAAGGAACTAGTTAGATGGATTTTATGACATTTTTCCATATATTGTGGTTGGAAACGTACGCACCCCAGCTTTAAGAAGTCACTAGTATCTCTGACGCCCCTGAGGTAAAATGTATTTGTTAATCTTTTGAATGTCCTACATCTGTCCTCAGGCGCTGTACCCCCTGGTCACATGTTTGCTGTGCGTCAGTCAGAAGAACTTCTTCCTCTGCCGCTGGCACATTTTCCTCAACAACTGCCTTTCAAACCTTAAAGTGAGTTTTCTTTCTTTTTCACCTTCACTTATACCTGTAATGTAGATAGATAACATGAATTTGTAATATAGAGTCAAATATCTGTTCCGTATTTTTGTGTGTTTTTTAAAATAATGCCACACATTGCCATATCGCATCTGACATCTCAAAATCAGAATCAGAATCATTTTTATTGCCACGTAAGTAACAGGAGGTCACAGACTAGGAAATTGCTTTGGCTCAGTGCAACAGTCAAAAAGAGATAATAAAAATAAGAATAAAAAAACACTTCTAAAGAATAAATTTAAATTTAAAATAGAGTTACAGTTACTATTTACAATATACAAGTGCACATGGTGCACACAATGTAAGGTGACAGCAGTACAGTGAAGTAAAGTGACGTATGATGGGCAGTAAAGTGACTTTATAAAGGGCGGGGGGGACAGGTTAAGAAGTGTTCAAGAGTCCAACAGCAGAGGGGAAGAAACTGTTCTTGTGGCGGGAGGTTCTAGTCCTGATGGACCGCAGCCTCCTGCCTGAGGGGAGTGGATGGAATAGTCCATGTGCAGGGTGAGAGGGGTCGGCTGTGATACGACCAGCCCGGCCTCGAGCTCGGGCGACGTACAGGTCCTGCAGCGATGGAAGGCTGCGGCCGATCACTTCCTCTGCAGAGCGCACAATGCACTGTAGTCTCTGTTTGTCCCTGACTGTGGCTCCAGCGAACCACACGGTGATGGAGGAGGTGAGGATGGACCTGGATGAAAAATCATCTCTCTCAAAGAATCATCTCTCTCAAAGGAAGAGAGCGCTCGGACTAAGTTGTAGAGAAGCATAAAGGATGGTTAGCTTACTCATACACATTGAATATCTCACAAAAAACTGTGTAATCTGTAATCTGTCATGTAAAGAATATGGCACTATACTTCAAATCTACCAAGACACGGCTGTTTGCCCAAACTAATGATTCATAGTTTAAAAAAAAAATATGACACTGCAGAGTAGGAGATTGACTTACAGTAACTCTATCATCAATTGTGCATTTGTTGACCATTGATGATCAATTTCTGGTATAAAAATCATGCTTTGACTGTGTCTGAGTTTTGACTTATATAACAGTAATATCCCTGCTGGTTGAACACCATATGGTAACTGCAGGCATTCTAGTAAATCTACCAGCTGTCCTTTAGCATTTCGGCATCCTATGTTTTCACCGAGTCATGTTAAACAATATATATTTTTCATTTTTGATGGTCAACTGTTTTCAGGCTATTAATTGATGTATTTGTTTACTAATTACTGCGTGGACATACAACTGAATGTATACAGCAGAGGTGGACAATATTTTCTCTATGGAGCACATTGGGGTTTCATCATACTGTGGCTGGACCTATTTTTACACCATCTATTTTAAATTGGCAAAATGTAATTGATATTTTCTGTGAAAGCTACTTAAGTAGGGCGTCTTAAGTAAGGGCAGAACCCACGACCAGAGAGCCCGACTTTCATCATCGACTCCCACTGTCTGCTGTCGTTGTGTCCTTGGCAAGAACACTACTACAGTGGGGCGGCTGCGGCTGTAAAGTGCCAAACTGCTGTTGCCTTAGGCAAGACACTTTACCCCCATTGCCTAGAATGAGTCTGGTGTGTGTGTGAATGGTTGGTGGTGGTTGGAGGGGCCGATGGCACATACTGGTTGCCTCGCTTCTGTCAGTGTGCCCCAGGGCAGCTGCGGCTACAGTAGTAGTTTATCACCACCGTGTATGGAGTGAATGAATAATGACATGTAAATGACATGTCTTTGAGTGTCCAAAAAGCGCTGTATAAAATCGATGCATTATTATTATTATTATTAAGTATAAAATTATTTATTTGATCAGCAGAATTATCTAAAGAAGAGAAAGAGAGTCAAAGTAGCATGTGTATAGTTTGTTTAGCACTCATTGTTAGCATCTTTAGCATCTGTGGCAATTTTTTTGTTTGAACCTTTTTACATCATGAAGTATTTTGAGAAAATCATTATAATTTTTTTTGGTTTGGCTCTGACTAAAACAAAACTGGACACAAAGCTAAAAAGACAGAGTATTTTAGACTTATCTACAGATTATTATGTTTGACAATGGGTTCGAGGGCCTTATAGAAATGTCAACAGGGCCGCATGTGGTGCCCAGCCCACAGTTTGCCCACGTCTGGTATTCAGTGTAATATGTATTTTCAGTCCAAAACCTTGTCATATGGTCCCAGCCATCGTGCTTGTCCTTTGTTAAAGGACAAGCACATATATATAAATATATATATTGCGTAATCAGAAGCAGGTGCTTTATGCAATGTAAGCAGGAATGCAGCGCGAGTCTAGTTCTTGTCTGATTTTAAGGTTGTGACAAAGGACAATGAATGGCACAACGAGCAGCACTTATTTTTGTTGGAGCACACGCCCTGACGAGGGCTGATGCCTAAGGGTCGATCGGACACGGATCTTAAATAGTTATTAACAATATGTCCTCTCTTTGTTGTTTTTATTGATGTTCCTTAGATTTCTGGTTTGTGTTAATTTTTGCGCTCTGTATATTTTCATTGAGTTTAAGTTTGCGGTAGCAGAGAAGCAAATGTGTAAATGGAAAAGAGAGATTAGAGATTTTATTCTATTTTATTGGTATTTTTATTGTCTTGTGCTCAATAAAATCCTCCTATAAAACTTTAAATACACTCTCTTCTTCCCACTGTCTTTCAGGCAAATTGATTTTTACATTTTAGTTACATGTGTGTCTTTTTGTGTTTGAAAACATCTGTTTTGCTCCTGCGCTGCCTGAAATAAATAAATGAATAATAAATATGTTTCTTTTTTGCAGAACAAAGACCCAAAGATGGCGCGTGTGGCTCTTGAATCTCTCTACCGCCTGCTCTGGGTTTACATGATTCGGATTAAGTGCGAGAGCAACACTGCAACACAAAGGTGATGATCCGTTTTGAAATATAATCCTCTTTTTTTTTCTTTTTTTTTAGACTTAAACTTAGACAGACTTTATTGATCCACAAGGGAAATTGCGTTGTCATAGTAGCTTGCATAGTATTCCACAAAAAATAACAATGAAAATAATGAAAATAACAGATACAGTTTTCCTCATCATAATGCAGGATTTTTCCATTTTTTCCCCAATGATGAGCTTATAGTACAGGCCTTTTGTCAACAAATTATGCCCATATAAAAGTAAATCAAAATAGTAAATGAAGTAGAAATTAGAGTTAGTTTAAAATGAGGTAAAAGGATACTATAAATGTCACAGGGAAGAAGTCACAGAAAGTCTGCTCCAGTTGGAAAATGTAATTTATCCATCTGTCCAAACATTCAAAAAAGATATAAAATATATCTTTTTTGAATGTTTATAATATAGGTTAGCTTTTCCATTTTATATCTCTCAAATACTGTGTCTATCCAGCCGTCAAGTGTGGGCTGTGTGGGAGTCAGCCATCTCTAAATGTAATGAAGTGAAATCACCTCTGACCACGTCTTGTTCTCTTCGCAGTCGCCTGACGTCCATTACCTCCACACTGTTTCCAAAAGGCAACCGCAGCGTTGTTCCCCGTGACATGCCTCTGAATATATTTGTTAAAATCATCCAGTTCATTGCACAGGTTTGTACAGAAATTGTGTTTAACATTTTCAAAACAGCAAAAACGGCAAAGGCTTTTAGAAAACAGGGGTTAGAATGTATTGGTCACTAAACATAAACAGCATGGTATGGAAGGCCAAGGAACGCAGCAGAGAGAGAGAAGTCAGGGATGAAGTTGTGGAGAAGTTTGGAAAGGTTATAGACAAATCCAGACTTTGAACATCGTCAGCGTCACAAAGAATTGTTTAATCCATCGTAAGTAAGTAAGTAATCTTTATTTATATACCACCTTTCACAGACCAGAGTCACAAAGCGGTTTACAACTGTTATTTTTTGGACATTTGTCTCTTACTCCACACAGAAAGATGGGAGCGGGGCCAGTACATGAGGCGCATGCCAGACCTCTTGTACATATTTTTAGTGGTAGGGGAAACCGGAGTACCCGGAGGAAACCTACGCAGACACGGGAAGAACATGCAAACTCCACTCAGAAAGGCCCTGGTCTGACCGGGATTTGAACCCAGGACCTTCTTGCGAGAGTGCTATCCACTCAGCCACCGTGCCGCCATTATTCTTTCCGGTAATGGAATGGGGCGACAGTAGCTCAGTTGGTAGAGTACTGGTCGTGGTTTTCGAGCCCACCACGGCCCATGTCACCTGCTCCCACTGATGTCTGCTGTCGTTGTGTCCCTGGGCAAGACACTTAACCCCACATTGCCCGAAGTCCCCGCTGAAAGACCAAGGCCATCTCATCAATGACAGAGAAGCCATCTTCCCGTGGACCCACAGGAGGATCAGCGCGGGACTGGTGCTATGAGACTTTGGTGGCAGCTCTGATTGCCACTCCCCTACCCAGAAATGGATTAATAAAGGGGTAGACAATGACATGACATGACATTGACGACTGCTCCATCAGACAGCTCAAATGAGCAGAACTGTTAATTGATTTGTTGATGGGGGGCAGATATTACAAATGTTTGCTATTTTCCCTAACCCTTTTTCCTTCTTACTTAATGCTGTGTTTGTGTTAAACCCAAAATCACCTGGGTGTGAATGTAGATATGACATTTACAGATGGTTGGGTTAGAGCAGCAGAGAATATCATCAGAATGAATAATAGTAATAGTAGCAGCAGAAAGTGAAGTGACAATATTAGAAAGATATTAGTGAAATATTAGAATTTTTTTTTTACAAAGCTTATGGACAATGTAATGCCCTATATCTATTTACGTCTTCTGTTTCCCTGTTCAGGAGAGGCTGGATTTTGCCATGAAGGAGATCATTTTTGACCTGCTGAGTGTTGGGAAACCGGCCAAAGCCTTCAGTCTGAACCCCGAGGTAAAAACAACATGGTGTCGTTATCACACTGACACAGAGGAGCATTCCTATTTTTATTTGTCTGTCATTGTGTCTATATGGACTACGCTCAAACTCACTCAAATCTGTCAGTCGTCTATTGTCTCAGTATACATGCAGACCTCTCTTGTCTCAGTATACATGCAGACCTCTCTTGTCTCAGTATACATGCAGAACTCTCTTGTCTCAGTATACATGCAGACCTAGGGCGGCACGGTGGCTGAGTGGATAGCACTCTCGCCTCTCAGCAAGAAGGTCCTGGGTTCGAATCCCGGTCGGACCAGGGCCTTTCTGAGTGGAGTTTGCATGTTCTCCCCGTGTCTGCGTAGGTTTCCTCCGGGTACTCCGGTTTCCCCTACCACTAAAAATATGTCCAATAGTTCTGGCATGTGCCTCCTGTACTGGCCCCGCTCCCATCTCTGTGTGGAGTGAGAGACAAGTGCCCAAAAAAATAACAATTGTAAACCGCTTTGAGACTCAGATCTGCAGTGAAAAGGCGGTATATAAATAAAAACTTACTTACTTACTTACTTACTCTCTTGTCTCAGTATACATGTAGACCTCTCTCGTCTCAGTATACATGCAGACCTCTCTTGTCTCAGTATACATGCAGACCTCTCTTGTCTCAGTATACATGCAAACCTCTCTTGTCTCAGTATACATGTAGACCTCTCTCGTCTCAGTATACATGCAGACCTCTCTTGTCTCAGTATACATGCAGACCTCTCTTGTCTCAGTATACATGCAGACCTCTCTTGTCTCAGTATACATACATACCTCTCTGGTCTCAGTATACATGCAGACCTCTCTTGTCTCAGTATACATGCAGACCTCTCTTGTCTCAGTATACATGCAGACCTCTCTTGTCTCAGTATACATACATACCTCTCTGGTCTCAGTATACATGCAGACCTCTCTTGTCTCAGTATACATGCAGACCTCTCTTGTCTCAGTATACATGTAGACCTCTCTCGTCTCAGTATACATACAGACCTCTGTTGTCTCAGTGTATATGCAGACTCAGACCTCTCTAGTCTCAGTCTATTAGCAGGCTCAAACTTAAGTGAAAATTAAATGCATTACTTTGTGGAATACCTATACTTTCTGCTGTTATACAATGAAAACACCACATGAACCATAGCTGTATCTTTTCTTCAGCGCATGAACATCGGTCTAAGGGCCTTCCTGGTCATCGCGGACGCCCTTCAGCAGAAAGACGGCGAGCCACCCATGCCCAACACAGGGGCCACCCTGCCGTCCGGAAACTCCCTGAAGAAGAAGAAGACTTATCTCAGTAAAACGCTGACGGAGGAGGAGGCCAAACTCATCGGCATGTCCCTCTACTACTCACAAGTCCGAAAGGCCCTGGACAACATCCTCAGACACCTGGACAAGGAGGTGGGACGCTGCATGATGATGACCTGTGCTCAGATGCTCAACAAGGAACCAGAGGACATGATCACGTAAGCAACACATGGGTTTTTATATCTCAGTCTATTCAAAGTAATGTATTTACAGCCATATACACTGCAAAAAATAATTACATGAATCGAGTGATTTTTGTGTTAAAACAAGATTTGCTAATGGGACAAAGCCATTTAGTCTAATTTCAAGAGCTGTTGCATTTACTTATCATTCCAAGGGACACATTTCTTGTATCTTTTAAAATCAAGATAATTTTGCTTTGTCCCATTGGCAAATCTTGTTTTAAGGCTCAGTTAAAATGTGCTTAAATTGTGGCAAAATGTATCTTACATTTTGCCAAATTTGAGCAATCTTTTACCTATTTTTTATCACTGTTTGTAGTTTATCTTGTTTCGGTTGTATTCATGTGACTTCAAACCCTATAGTTTAAATATGTGATGGAGGACAGCTAGTAAATCTTTGCTAGCTTAACTTAACCGTCAAAAATCAGCTAATGTCTCTGTTATTCCGGTGCCAATCTCCAGGAAAACAACTGCTGCACATCTTCTTTGTCTACTACTCCAACTATGGTCTAATTTATTTTCTCATAATGCTATCTAAAAGTGGTCAATATTCAAAACATAAGCACAGTGTTGGGCAGTAGAAAGAACCTTCAGACATAGGAATAATATGGCGGGTTATATTACCAAACTCTATCCCTATAAATCATATTTATTTATTTATTTGAAATGGGACAGTGCACATTAATCATCACTATACAGTACAATGTAAATGCCCGAGTTAGCTAAAGTAGTCCCGTGGGCAGATGTTAAGGCCAGCCTAAAAATAAGAAAATCTAATTAAGAACACACTTCAATTTACAAATACAATACAGTACATTAACATTAAAGGAAAACAAAAACAATGAATTAGCTGTAAAACAGAGAAACTTTTGGAAATTCTCTGTAAAATTGCTTCTTTCCCGTAGTATTGTATTGCCACCTGCCCTCCAACTGAAATATCATTCTACAACATGAGATCAACCTATTAAAGGGGACATGACATACATTTTTGGGTCTGTTTTCTTAGGACCTAAACCGCCTCAGCTCCCTCCTTTGTCTTCTGAATCTGCTGACACACACGGATGATTCGATTAGTGCTAAGTCTACCAGGTGTATGGCTGTAATTGTACCATTCTTTTGACAGCGGTGAGAGGAAGCCTAAAATCGACCTGTTCAGGACATGTGTGGCAGCTATTCCTCGCATTCTCCCTGATGGGATGTCCAAACCTGAGCTCATCGACCTCCTCTCCAGGTAAAAGATTGAAAGTGGGAAAACATCTAATCACGGACTTCTACTATCTACTTTTAAAGGGACCTGGGAGGAATTTGAATAACAATGCATTGTCTTTCTGGTCCCCTGGTAATCGTCATATCTGCAACAACGTGAAATATAGTGATATAGCGTTAATAATGCAAAAGTCACATTTAGTGTTGGATGTGTGTGCTAAAGCTAATATGGATTCATATTAGCTTTAGCTAGTTTTTTGCTAGTTTTTCTGCTCTTTGGAATGTTTGGATGGAGGTTAGCTGATACGGCTAAGAACAGGTTTGTACTTCGTATCTTGTCTCTCGCTTTTTGTGAATTTAAGCTTGTCAGTAGTAGCAACATATGATAAGGAATTCAGTTCTTAATAAAATGGTCTGTAAAGGTGATTTTTGCAGAAGTAGAAAACAAGTATGGGATAAGATTTAAACAGAGACGTCTGATTTTGTTGAATTACAGAAGATAAAAATCAGACATTTTACCAAACATGAACGAGACAAGATGCTCATAGGACGTCCTTATTTACAATTCTTCCCAGGTCACTTTGTAATTACTGATCCTAAAGGCTTGATATGAGTGTTTATTATTGTAATGTGATGTCTGGTCTGTTTCTCTTCAGGCTCACGGTGCACATGGACGATGAGCTTCGTCTGATTTCCCAGAATTCCTTGCAGAGTTTGTTACTTGACTTTTCGGACTGGCGGGAGGACGTCCTGTTTGGTTACACGCACTTCCTTCTGCGAGAGGTAAACGTTTTAGGATCTATTATTCTTGTGAACCCTAACATAGATGTATAGTTGTTCTTTTTACTGGTGTCCTGGCCTTCCAGCACGATAGACAATGTATTATGAACGATGTAAATAAATTTGTATTAGTATAGTTTTACACAAGAATGTCCTTCATATAACAGCAGTATACATATCCTTGTACTGTGTCAATATCAAAAGGTAGTCAAACCTTAAGCCATAAAGAGAAAATACATATTTAAAAGTCAGTTTTTTTGTTAAATTACAGTTTTTTCATTTGTGTAATTTTGAGAAAGATTAAATCACATTTTATGGTGATTTTATGCAGAAATGTGAGAAATTCCAAACATTTCAGATACTTTTTCATGCCACTGTACAAATGAATGCATCTTATATGATTGGGCACCCTGTTCATAAGCTCCAGGGTTTTACTTCCTGGGAGTGAATGGGAGAGGGAAGTGAATGGGCTTGCACCAATGTTTTATAGAAATTCATTGGTTGATTGGTTGATTGACGTTAACCCTGACCTCATGGCTGTTGTGTCCAGGTGCAAGACACTCACCAGGGTTTGCAGGACGCCTCGGTGAAGCTGCTCCTTCAGCTCCTCACTCAGTGGAGACTGGCGCTGCAGCTCCAGGGGAAGACGAGAGGCGGGGTGGAGGTGTGTGAGCAAGAAAAATGTCAAAATCCATTCAATATAGTAGGTCGAGTGGTTGTAATGAAGTTAACAAGATGAAAACAAAAATAATATGTCTTATTTCTGTCTAAACTTCTTAAATTAAATGCAAAAATCGTGGTCTGTAGCTACGTCCGCGCTAATATCAGATTTAGTTTGGCACAAACACATGACTCTTGATTTTGATATTTGTCTAGAAAATGTTTGTTTCTGCCACCGGACATTACCACCGTTTTTGTCTCTCATTCAAAATTTGGTGTTTATCCAAATGTTTTCTACTCATGAAATATTTCAATATTCTAAAACACAAAAGATCAAGATCATAGTTCAGGACCAAAAACTTCACTGCACTGTACATTCTGAATATTAAAAATATTTGACTTCCCCCTGCCCCTTCTCGACAAACACTCCTCTCTCAAATAACTAGATAATTTATAATGACGTCACGGACATTCAAACGACTCTTGGGAATTTCCTCTGTCGAACTACATTCTTTACCACATCGTGCCTTCCCTTCTTGTTCCACAGTGCTCTGTTGGATTTTGATCTTAATCTGTAGAAATGTTGTTTGTCACTTACTGTACCTTTCTCTAGCTTTAGCATCATAAAGACGCAATTATAAAATCTCTAGCATTAGCACAATAAGGAAGCAAGTAGGAAAAGCTGTATATAGTCCAAGAAATATATAGTTGTATGTATAAATCTGTACCTTTTAAAATAACTGTTTTTTGTGAATGAACAGTCATCCTAACCTTGTGTTTGAATAATCCCATGCCGTGTCTCCGCCCCCTCTCGCTCCAGGCCAGTCCGCGGTCGTCCGACAGATACCCTCACTGTTCGGTGCTTCACGCTGTGGAAGGCCTGGCTCTGCTGCTGCTCTGCTCTTGTCAGATCAGCACGAGGAAACTGGCTGTCGGGGTTCTGAGGGAGATCCGCTGCCTCTTCACTGCCCTGGGACACGCAGAGGTATTACCCACGGCAAGAACAACTCGCAGCTGAGGAGCAGGAAATGTGAAAACTATGACAATTTCCCCACTGTGGGACGAGTAAAGGTTCATCTAATCTTAAAAGAAGTCCTCGGAAGGCCCGTAGATTGAAATTCACAAGCTCTGCCATTGTTCAAAGTGTTTTTACCTAGCTGTAGTTGATATACCAACAAATATTCACATAAAAAAGCATAAAAATAAGTAATTTTGTTATTGATTTTAGTAGTCCATCTTCTTCCTCTTCCTCCATTTCTGGGTCAAAGGTAAAATATGGAAAAAACACAAACTTTAGAATTAAATACAGAAATATAAATAGTCAAATTAAATAAAGACAAAAAAGATCACAACAAATACAATACATACTGTGGCATACCAGCTGAGCAAAATCCCTCTTCATGTGGTCTATACTCCTATGGTCTCTGGACTATATGAGGAGGTCTTCAAAGATCCTGGTCCTAACAAACTCAGGCTGATGCTGTTATTCCAGATGAGACTCACACATGACACAGTTTTATAAATAGCTGAACGTCTAAATGTGTTTGTCTCCAGGACGATGACAAACCGATGATTGAGATCATGGACCAGCTCAGCCCCACGGTCATGGACAGCATCGTGCATGTGGCTGTGTCCGACTCCGTAAGTTTCTACCGTTTTTATTCTTTTTTATTGAGTTTGGAGTGAACTGATACTGCAAAGAATGTAAAAATAGCTTTTCGCATGCTAGCTGCGGTACAAGGCAACTCAAAGTGCTCCACAAAACATAAAAAGAAACATTGAAATCACACAAGGCATTCAAATCTTAAATCATTGTAGTACCTTAGAAAGAGTGAAATCTTCAGTTGTATACACCGCTAAACACAACTGTTTTAACCTGGATTTGAACATTGTCAGCAAAACATTTTCAGGAAGACTGTTCCAGAGTTTAGCTAGGTAAAGGTGCACTTTATTTATCCCTGTAGGGCAATTCATCCTCTGGGTTTGAGCCATCCTGATGCAACTAAGTGCTGGACTCCACCGGCCGCGTCTCTGTTTACGCGCGTTGGCTGCTGCCCGTCAGACGTCCGTAAAAAGGAATAGTGGCCGAAACCGGCTTCAGCAGCGCGCAGCTCTGGCTGTGCGTTTATCAGCACCCGTGAGGCTTTGTTTTAAAGGCACACCGCGGACTTTGTGACCTAAAGAGTTGACACATATGAGTTATTTTATATGAATACTTGGGCCAATATACAGCGCTTGACACTTGCAATGCTCCGAGCGGGGCTGCCCTCTTGAAATACCGCCCATGTAAGTTTCGAGCAGACGGACCGTCTGCCACCAGGTCACGTGACTTGGAAGAAAGACTTGCTTTACGGCTACAGGCGCTGATATACTCATGGAGCTAAGGCTTTTGCTACTCATTTTTCACCTGCTCGACTCCTGGTCATGGCTGAGGCAAGGAAAAATTTTAAACCTTCGGAGGAGGCTAAAAAGAGGAAACGCGAAAGGGATCGTGCTGTAAGCTGCATGTCTGTATGAGCGCTGCTCTTCACCTGGTTCCTGGATGTCATCGACTGCAAAGATGTCATTCCACGCAGCACGAGCTAGACGCAGAACTCCCTCATCCAGGATATAGAAGTCCGTGTGTGGTAGATTACTAATGCAGCGGTCTGGAGGCTGACCACAGCAGAGTCTCTCAATATCTGTAGGCATGTCTCTACAGTTTGAACACACACACCAGTGCATGCTGTCTGAATACACACTCAAAAGACACCGGCTGACTGTTTGTTGACTTTTGCGACAGTGCTGAGTTGCTTGTGGCCACTAGGGGCGCTAAACGTGAAAGTTGCAGGTCTAGCGCCCCTAGTGGCCAAGAGTTACACGGTGTGCCTTTAAATAGAAGAAGCGGTGTGTGATGTGCATGAGCTGTGGCTATGATCTAGGCAAAGCACGGCATATTGAAGCATCGAGGACGTCGCGATGGATGAGGCAAAACTTATTGAAAGCAATTGGAAAAAGGGGATAGAGAAAAGAGAAGAACTCTAACATATCCAGGCTTTTTTGAGTGCAAGTCATTATTAACATTACGCGAAAAATAAATGGTAGATTTACGATCAGGAAATAATTATTTCAATTTAATACATGAAATAAATTACACACATTTGTTAATAATCATTGTCATTAACAAACACTTATAACCAAGGACTACATCATATATCAATACTTGTATAATAATGTGGTAAATATATTTTTTCATTGTATTTCCAATGGAAAACGGACCCGACACGCATCGACGGACGTAAAGAATAGGATTGTTTCTATTTCATCCGTCCGCGTCCGTTGCACCCTGCGCGGACACACTGGTCCATACGCGCGTCATACGGCTGCATGTCGCAGGCAGTGGAGCCACTTCCATTCACCCTCATGGAGAAAACGGAAACGGCGATGAAACGGACACGTTTGGACGGATACGTAGTACGTTTTACGCAACCGGTGGAGTTGGGGCCTAAGGCTTACGTCAGGAGCAGTGGTCGCCGTAGTAACAGCACCCGGGACCCATCTCCAGATGTTGATGCTCAGCTGGAGGATTTAACCTAGTGTGCATGTATTTAGTGGTAGGGGAAACCGGAGCACCTGGAGGAAACCGGAGCACCTGGAAGAAACCTACGCAGGCACGGAGAGAACATGCAAACTCCACTCAGAAAGACCCTGTTCCGACCGGGATTTGAACCCACTCAGCCACCGTACCGCCCTGCATAAATCTGAAAGGCTGCCTCCTCATGTTTGTTTAGTCCTGACTTTGGGCACGAGAAGGAGGCCAGTCTCTCTGCTCCTCACAGTCCCAGCTGGAGGCCAGTCCCTGTGCTCCTCAGAATCCCAGCAGGAGGCCAGTCCTTGTGCTCCTCAGAGTCCCAGCAGGAGGCCAGTCCCTGTGCTCCTCAGAGTCCCAGCAGGAGGCCAGTCCCTGTGCTCCTCAGAGTCCCAGCAGGAGGCCAGTCCTTGTGCTCCTCAGAGTCCCAGCAGGAGGCCAGTCCCTGTGCTCCTCAGAGTCCCAGCAGGAGGCCAGTCCCTGTGCTCCTCAGAGTCCCAGCAGGAGGCCAGTCCCTGTGCTCCTCAGAGTCCCAGCAGGAGGCCAGTCCCTGTGCTCCTCAGAGTCCCAGCAGGAGGCCAGTCCCTGTGCTCCTCAGAGTCCCAGTCCGTTCTCTGAGCCACAGGAGAAAGTCTGAGGAGCAGGTCAGAGGCTGGTGTTGCATTCTCACCATGGCCCAGAGGAGACTGCAGACTCTTAGGGTCTTCTCCGGTTACAGTCAGTGTCTAGAGGAAGCCGATCATGAACCAAACATGATATTCTCGTAAAGCAATATCTCACTGTGCATATTTAGTACATAATCCCAGATATACATTTCCCCATTGACCTGAACTACACAAGCATTGTCTTTGCCACAAATGAAATAATTTAAATTGTAGTTATTTTTTACTTTTTTAAGTTTATCTAGGAATCTGTTCTAATCATATGGTTTTATAATTTGTTATGTACTGGTCATTTAGGTACCTACAGATTTAAAGCTGGACAGATAGATAGATAGATAGATAGATAGATGGACACATAGATAGATTGATAGATAGATAGACACATAGATAGATAGATTGATAGATAGATAGATTGATAGATAGATAGATAGACACATAGTTAGATAGATACAGTATATAGACACATAGATAGATTGATAGATAGATATATACTTTATTGATCCCCGTAGGAGAAATTCAGGTGTCCAGTAGCAGCAGAAACACATCCATCCAAAACAATTTCTAAAAAAAGCTAACAATAATAATAAAATGCAACGTGAATTAGCTGTTGGCCTATGAACATGCCATCAGTTATTTGTAACAATGCTTCTTGTTCTGTCCCTATCAAATAAACATATAATAATAATAATAACATCAACAGCACTTTCACATATTCTCCTCTTCTCTCTCTCTCTCTCTCTCTCTCTCTCTGATCTCCCCCCAGTCCACTCTCCCTCTCAGTCACCACGTGGACCTACAGTGGCTGGTGGAGTGGGGCGCCCGTCTGGTCAGCAGCTCCTACGACGTGAAGAGTCCCAGTCACGTATGGATCTTCGCCCAGTGCGTAAAGGACCCCTGGGTGCTCTGTCTGCACATATTCTTGAGACAGGAGCATCTTCCCAAACACTGCCCCGTCGCCCTGGGATACGCCTGGCCCTACGCCTTCACGAGACTGCAACTGCTGCTGCCGCTGGTGGACCCCAAGTAAGACCTCCGCCATTTTACATACAACTATATACTGTATTTACTATAATTAATACTTAAATACTTAAACTTAATACGTAATACTTATATTTTCATTCATTTTGACGGTTAGTTTGTTTTCCACCAGTTTTATGGTAACATAACACAATGCAAACGAAGGAAAAACATGGGGAAGGCAGGTTTTATTGTATAGCACAGTTCATTCACACAAGGCAACTCAAAGTACTTTACAGAACAAGATAGAGAAAAAATATTCACAGTACATTTAAGAGTGAAGATACAATCCCTCAGTTGTATGCACAGCTAGACAGAACAGATTAGAAGCCTGTCTCACATTTTCCGGAAGAAGTCTGTCCGCATTTTAGCTGCATCGAAAATACTGCCTCCTCATGTCCCCCAGCTTTCAAACTTTTTTAGTTACCTCGATCTTTCACCCCCTCCTAAACAGCAGCCCGGTGAACGCCAAAAAGACCAGCACGGCCGGCTCCAGTGACAATTACATCTCCCTGTGGCGGAACTACCTGATCATGTGTCTGGGCGTGGCCAAACCCAGCATCATGTCTCCGGGCCACCTCCGCGCCTCCACCCCCGAGATCACCGCCACCACACCGGACGGCAGCGTAACCTATGACAACAAGGTGTGCGTGTGTGTGTGTGTGTGTGTGTGTGTGTGTGTGTGTGTAGAACTGCTGTTGTTTATAATAATAATAATAATAGTAGTAATTCTGATTATGAAAAGATGCATTTGGCTGTAGTGTGGTGGGAGTGATTCTCTGACAACTGGAATGTTCTGTGAGGTTTTGGGGATTGATGGGAGATTTTGTGTATGTTTATGTAAAAGTTGCCATATTTGAAACCTTCTTGAGTTAGGTTTAATCCATTTTATTACATCAAAAACATTGTTGCTTTTAGCTTCATATATGCTAATGTAACTCCCAGCACCAATCAGCATAAAGTCATCTCAAAATCTATCTGTTAATTTACTTTTTTCCATACTCATTTATTTATATATCTGGCAACTTTGTCTTTGAAGTGAAATTGCAAGGCACCAGTGTATTTTTAACTGTGTGTTGTGTTGCAGGTGATCGGAACTCCGTCTGTGGCCTGGCTCCTGAAGCAGCTCGTTCCTCTGATGAGAGCAGAGAGTTTGGAAATCACTGAGTCTTTGGTTCTGGGATTCGGCTGCACCAACGCCCTAGTGTTCAGGTGAGATTTCACAGTTTTGAAGATATACATTAAAAAACAGCATTATATTTCACTATTTTATGATTTTCAAGTTTCAGTGTCAAATATCTTCAAATAGATGAATAGATGACGTGAAAGCTGGGGTACTTCACTTTAAAAGCCTATATTTACAGGCTGTAAATCCAGGATTATGGCAGTAGATCCAGGACTGATGCTGTAGATCCAGGACTGAGGCTGTAGATCCAGGACTGAGGCTGTAGATCCAGGACTGAGGCTGTAGATTCAGGACTGAGGCTGTAGATCCAGGACTGAGGCGTTAGATTCAGGACTGAGGCTGTAGATTCAGGACTGAGGCTGTAGATCCAGGACTGAGGCGTTAGATTCAGGACTGAGGCTGTAGATTCAGGACTGAGGCTGTAGATCCAGGACTGAGGCGTTAGATTCAGGACTGAGGCTGTAGATTCAGGACTGAGGCTGTAGATCCAGGACCGAGGCTGTAGATCCAGGACTGAGGCTGTAGATTCAGGACTGAGGCTGTAGATCCAGGACTGAGGCATTAGATCCAGGACTGAGGCTGTAGATTCAGGACTGAGGCTGTAGATCCAGGACTGAGGCTGTAAAACATGTAGAGGACAAAAAATGTTCTAATATTTGTGAACGTTTTGACCTTGGTATTAGCAGTTTAAACAACTCATAGCAGTGCGGTTGTATGCTTTAAACGCCCCGTGCCGCTCTGACTTATCTTTTATGAATAGAAAGCAATAGAATCATTTCTGTTTTGCATCACTTAGTATCATAGTGTCTCTTACATAACCACAAAGCTCCAGCCCGGTGTGCTTTCTCCCGCTTCCCCATCTGTCGCTGCATTCTCGCCATAGCTGGGATTAGCAGCATACCTCCGCGATATTGTGAGAGGGAAAGAAAGCGTGGCACATCAAGAAAGCGAATTCCTCGAGGGGCAAACGTGTTCCGCATTTTTTCACTAACACAGAGGCTCCATTGTCAAAGAGGGTAGTGTGGCCTTATCAGAAACCATCTCATTTAACCTGAAATACTACCCCAAAAAGAGCCCATTGTCATTAAAAAAGATTGGGTTGGGGTGTGAAGATCCATGATTTTGGGCAAATGTACGTAAGAGCGTCTTTTATAGATCCAGGACTATAGGACAGGGGCGACAGTAGCTCAGTTGGTAGAGCATTGGCCTTAAGCCCAGAAGGTCGTGGGTTCAATTCCCACCTCTGCACCTTCTCCACCGACTCCCACTGATGACTGCTGTCGTTGTGTCCTTGGGCAAGACACTTAACCCCACTTTGCCCAAAGCCCCCACTGAAAGATCAAGGCTATGCTCACACTCAGAGAGCAGCCGTCCTCCTGTGGACTCACCACCTGCAGAGGGTCAGTCTCATAGCTGGTGCTATGAGACTTGGGTGGCATCTCTGACTGTCACCCCCCTGACCCAGAAATGGATTAAAGGGTGGATGGATAGATCCAGGACTGAGGCTGTAGATCCAGGACTTCTTTCTTTTGTTATTTACAAAACGTCAACAAACAATACACATTGTGTTTGTGAAGTTTGTTTGTGTTTTGTAAAAGGGAACTCCCAGGAAGCTGCATTAGCTTATAGGCAGGGCCCCAAAAACTAAGCTAGAGATGTTATACTTGCTTCTTTATTATGCTAAATTTAGAGAGTATAGAGTTAATGTTCATTTAGCTTTTGCTCCTCATTCCTACTGTTCTGTAACTTGTGATGCAACAGTGTGTGACAAATAAAGGATATGTTCATCTCAAGCTTAAACTCATCTAACAAAAACAATTCTATATCACACCTCATCTTCAAGACTTACAAATGGATTTTTCCATTGTCGTTTTGCAGGGAGTTGGTTGAAGAGCTGCATCCGCTAATGAAGGAGGCACTGGAGCGAAGACCCGAGGTACAAATCAAATCTAAAGAATACATTTTCCTGTTATGAACTGTGTGGCAGAGATTGATCACTGTTGATGTTTTTGCAGAATAAAAAACGCAGAGAGAGGAGAGATCTTCTGAGGCTGCAGCTGCTGAGAATCTTTGAACTTCTGGCAAACGCTGCAGTTATTAGTGACAGGTAAAGTATATGTTTAACCTAACTAATACATAATGTACTATACAGACTATAAGCCGTGACTTTTTTCTAGTTCTTTGATACCTGCGGCTTATATTGCGATGCGGTTAATATGTGTATTTTTATTGGGTTAGAGTCGGGCTGTTGTCAGAGCAGAGTTTATTTTGTCTCCATCAAGTTTTATTAGCTACAGGACACTGGTCATTGTCAAAAAAGTTTAAGGTGAATGAGTCATGGAAGCTAACGACAAAACTGCTAAACTCCTCGTTATTAAATAATGTTGTAATCAGTTAAAACAGTCCTCTCTTTGCTACATTACAACATGAAAACGTGCGGCTTATATTCAAGTGTGGCCTATATGTGGACAACCTTTACTTTCCTTTCAAACCTATTTTTATTATATCATTATTACACCTACATTAATGAGTACAGGACTTTTCCGATCCAAGTTTTATGATAGGTGACTTTAAAAGTCAAGTTGTTTTATTCTTATTTTTAAAGGCTGCAGATTAAACAAAAACACACACAAAAATCAGGGCATATTAGTTTTTACCACTGTATATACAGTGTATTCTACGCCTGGAAATGTGTGTTTTATCCCATGTCTAACCTTTGCTGCCGATGTCCCTCAGCACCAATGGGGCATTGGAGCGCGACTCTCTGGCTCTGGGCGCTCTGTTCCTGGAGTACGTTGACCTGACCCGGATGCTGCTTGAGGCGGAGAACGAGAAGGAGCAGGAGGTCCTCAAAGACATCAGGGCCCACTTCAGCGGCATGGTGGCCAACCTCATCCAGTGTGTCCCCGGTAACTGCAGATAATAACTTCATCCTGACCTAAAACCTGATCTGGAGAGTTTATTGCTTCTAACTCACTCTTTTCAATTTTATGCATAGTCCTTCTATTGTTTAACGGTTAATGACACATAGACCATATATTAGCCCCCTTCTTCAAAGTAGCTGCCCAATGGATCATTTTATGAGTGAATTCAATTCAGTTTATCCTTGTATTAGCCTGGCCTTACCCACCCGTACACTGGGTTTTGTAGTTAGATGTGGGTGACGTTAAGAGTTTGCACCGAACGGACAGGTTGTAGTTTGGCAATGGCGAAGAATATGATAGTAAAGTATTCCGGTCTGGTTCTATCAAGAAATTGAAGCCGGAGCAAGAGGAATGTTTAGCAAATGTAATCGCTGGCAAAGATTGTGGCGCTACTCCCCACGGGCTCCGATAGCGGCAAAGGAGATGGCTAAAGCTAGGCTAAATGCTAACGACTCACTCGGGTGCACTACATACGTCACGGTAAACTCAGATCCAATCGGCAAAAGGAGTTAATCCCTCCCACCTGTTAATGGAGCTCAATGGAGCACCTCCAGACCTTAGTACGAAATGTAATTTGTACTATGGTGTGGTACGACCATGCTATCCTTTTATAGCCCTAAATCTCAAGGAGGACTTAACAAAACCGTTGAATTCACAGATCAGAGAGTTAAATCGTTCAAACACAAGAAATGCAATGATAGAATAGAGCCATTGGTCCATAAAGGGGCAGATGACCAATTTCCATAAAGATTGATAAATAAAATAAAGTTACGCAACAAATAATGCTAAACAAAATTAAGAAATTGTCCAAATTAGGCTAAATTGATATATTTTGGTGATCTTATCAAAATCAAAAAATCTAAATACAAACAACTTAGTCCATTGTTAGCCATTTTGTTGTCCGTCTAAAAGTAGCTCCTGGCCAGTGTTGTCCTGAAAAGAGTAACTATCTAAGATAAAAGTTTGGAGACCCCTGCCATAGTTTTAGCCTTAATGCGAAAGGAGCCGGTTTTAAAGGCAGCTTGAACCAATTTCTTCATACTGTATGTGCATTTGTTCCTACGGCTTTGCGCCATAACAGGAACAGACTTGTTGCTAACATGGTTGATAAGGCAAGTTGGAGTTTCCCCAAAAATGAAGGCATCTGGTTGGTCTATCCTTATATGGTTCATTTGATGATTTACAGAGACAATATCAATCCATCAGTTTTATTTATAGAGCCCTTAATTACACTTAAGTTGACCAAAATGCTTTACAATTAAATCACAAAAAATCCATTAAGGCCAAAATCAATGAGGATACGCATGTCAGGGGGCAGCTTGTTCCAGAGTCTGGGTCCAGGACTGAGAAGGACTGGTCTCCCCGGTGTTTGGACCTAGTTCTTGGTAATTCCAGGAGGAGTTGAGGTGAAGACCTCAATGATCTGCCTGAGTCACGGACAGTCTAAAGTTTGGACAAGTACAGAGGGCGAGACCATTGAGGGTTTTAAAAAAGAAGTAGATAATAAGTCAAATTTTAAAATATTGGCTTCGGAAAAAAAAAGTAAGCCAATGTAGTAATATCACAACAGAAACACCAGGATCATATAGACAACCATGGATTTTTTAAGGCCAAAAAATGTGACACAAACGGCCACTAGTCTCAGCTCGAGTTTACTTTTCCATGTGAGTATTTTGGAGCCGAGTGAGTTGGAGCTATAGTGCTATATACAGTCAATGATATGACATGGTATAGTTTTTTTTATTGTGTTGAATGTATTTTTATCTTTATTCATTCACAGTGCACCACAGACGCTTCCTGTTCCCTCAACAGTCTCTGCGACATCACCTCTTCATCCTCTTCAGTCAGTGGGCCGGACCCTTCAGTGTCATGTTTACTCCTTTAGACCGATACAGCGACCGAAACCACCAAATCACACGCTACCAGTACTGTGCCCTCAAGGTAACACACACATAGTGACAAAACAACAAAAAATGCAACACTTTTAGGCACACTATTTGACTTTTCCTGCTGCGTCTTTTAGGCCATGTCAGCGGTGTTGTGTTGTGGACCAGTGTTTGACAATGTGGGTCTTTCCACTGATGGATATCTGTACAAATGGCTCGACAACATCTTGGCCTGTCACGATCTGCGGGTAGGTCCTTACACTGCATCTTATTTAACTCAATTCTATATGTCGGTGGCACGGTGGAGGAGTGGATAGCACTCTCACTTCTCAGCAAGAAGGTCCTGGGTTTGAATCCCGGTCAGAACAGGGCCTTTCTTAGTGAAGTTTGCAGGTTTTCCCTGTTTCTGCGTAGGTTTCCTCTGGGTGCTCCGGTTTCCCTTACCACTAAAAACATGTACAATAGCTATGAATGTAACAAGTGAAAGGGTGGTGTTGTTCGGAGGCTTTTTTACATACAGTATATGATGAAAATAACTTCATATAAGTAAAAAAGGATAGCTCAAAAAATTCTAACAGATTAAGCAATGTTCCCAGGAATTACGCAAAAAAATATTATTTATATGGATTCTACAACATAATGATAATTTATAACAGAGAGTTCACAAACCAGAGATTTCAATATTTTGGCCATATTTTCGTCCTCATGAACTATAGCAAAAAAACAACTTTTATTCCACTCTGAGAGTCAAATAAACATGTTTTTTATTTTCTAATTATAACATAATTGAGCCGCTCTGAGGAGATAATTTTAGTTTGACAAAAATATGTTTACTTTCCAATAAATAGCTTAATAAAAACACTAACAATGACTGTAAAAAGAATATTTGTGTTATCATTCACAATGCCCCCTGCTCTTGCTCTGTCTGTGTCTGCCTCCTTATGTTTGTGTATCGTTTGTTGAGTGATGTGGGACTGAACATTTTCATTTTCTTATCTTGTCCTTGTAAATATTGCAAATAGCTCAAAAAATGATGTAGCAAACATGTTTTTATCTTCAGGAGACACGGGACTACAGATGGAGAAATAGCTGCTGGGCTAATTCTGGCATATTTACAGAAATGTTCATTATGCGCTGTCCCTGTGATTAATAAATACATAAATACAATGCCAAACAAATGTCTGGCTGGTTGTGTAAACTGTATTAAACAAAGTACACAGTAATTTAAACGGTCTCTTGGGTTGCTGTAGGTGCATCGTCTCGGGTGTGAGGTGGTGATCCTTCTGCTGGAGCTGAACCCAGACCAGAGTAACCTGTTTAACTGGGCTGTGGACCGCTGCTTCACCGGGTCCTACCAGCTGGCCTCGGGCTGCTTCAAGGCCATCGCCACGGTCTGCGGAAACAGGTCAGGATCAAACCCGCCCGTATTTTCAATCTGCTCTGGATCAACAAGTTCAAGTTATCCTTATTGTCCCACTGGGGGAAATTGGTTTTGCAGCAAACAGTCATCTAAAACACAGGCAGATACAGTAAAATCATAACATTGAAGAAAACAAGAACAAAGCTAATCTGTAAAGTGCTATGTGCTGTTGCGGTGCTTCACAGCTGTTGGATCATGAGTAACTATGGAGCTTGTTATTTCATTAACGTTTGTATTTGTGTTGTAGGAATTACCCATGTGACCTGGTGACGCTGCTCAACCTGGTCCTGTTCAAAGCCTCAGACACCAGCAGAGAAATATATGAGATTTCAATGCAGCTCATGCAGGTACCATCAATCCAATCCACTTAATTTATATAGCACATTTTATAAAACACGTTTCCAAAGTACTGCACAGTTTCCATCCATCCATCCATTTACTGCCCCTTAATCCATTTCTGGGTCGGGGAGGTGGCAGTCAAAGCTGCACCCAAGTCACATAGCATCAGCCCCTCACTGATCCTCTGCAGGTGGTGAGTCCACAGGAGGACGGCTGCTCTGTAAAGCCTAGCGTACATCGGACTGGCAACTGATTATATCCGTCGCATATGAGTTGCTGCCCTGCACACATTGACAATCTGACGAAAACGGTCAACTCCCAGTAGCAGACCAGTCTCGGAAATAACAGCGCGTACATCGACAGCAACTGGTCTCAACTACAGTGTGTTTTCTAACATAAACTGTTGCGGGCTCGCAATACACGCAATACACACATGTTGTCGGAGCGGCGCATGGAGCGCTCACATCGGGTGATATCTCCGAAACTGAGGACAACTAGTTGCCGAAAAGTAGAACACGGGCAACTGACTGAAGCGCGCACATCGACCGATTTCAGCAACTGATCATCTCCCACCATCTCCTCTCAGTTGCCAAAAGCCGCCTTGCAACTAGTTGTCTCCAGTTTCTCTGTCGATGCATGCTAGGCTTAAGTGTGAGCATAGCCTTGATCTTTCTGCGGGGGCTTTTGGGAAAAGTGGGGTTAAGTGTCTTGCCCAAGGACTCAACAACAGCAGTCATCAGTGGGAGAAGTGGAGAAGGTGTTGAGGTGGGAATTGAACCCACAACCTTCAAATAAACAACAAATAACCATCAAATAAACCATAAACCAGCCATCAAATAAACAACAATTCAAATAAAGCTATTAACTATATATAAAGTAAAGAAAAACCTTTATTCGTCCAATCGTGGGGAAATTTCAGTGTTGCCGCGCACAGACAGGGCAGTAGTAAGAACACACAGGGAGCACACATAATATACATAAAATATATACAAAAAAGTAGCTGCTATGTTTCTTAGCTAGCTGTAAATGCTTCAATGTCAATAAATATCTATATACAGTGGGGCAAAAAAGTATTTAGTCAGCCACCGATTGTGCAAGTTTTCTCACTTAAAATAATGACAGAGGTCTGTAATTTTCATCATAGGTTCACTTCAACTGTGAGAGACAGAATGTGAAGAAAAAAACAGGAATTCACATTGTAGGATTTTTTAAGAATTTATTTGTAAATTATGGTGGAAAATAAGTATTTGGTCACTTTGGTCAACAAGGAAGATCTCTGGCTCTCACCTACTTGTAACTTCTTCTTTAAGAAGCTCTTCTGTCCTCCACTTGTTACCTGTATTAATGGCACCTGTTTGAACTCATCTGTATAAAAGACACCTGTCCACAGCCTCAAACAGTCAGACTCCAAACTTCACTATGGCCAAGACCAAAGAGCTGTCGAAGGACACCAGGAAAAGAATTGTAGACCTGCACCAGACTGGGAAGAGTGAATCTACAATAGGCAAGCAGCTTGGTGTGAACAAATCAACTGTGGGAGCAATTATCAGAAAATAGAAGACATACAAGACCACTGATAATCTCCCTCGATCGCAAGATCTCATCCCGTGGGGTCAAAATGATCTTGAGAACGATGATCAAAAATCCCAGAACCACACAGGGGGGACCTGGTGAATGACCTGCAGAGAGCTGGGACCAAAGTAACAAAGGTTACCATCAGCAACACACTACGACGACAGGGAATCAAATCCTGCAGTGCCAGACGTGTCCCCCTGCTGAAGCCAGTGCATGTCCAGGCCCGTCGGAAGTTTGCCAGAGAGCACATGGATGATACAGCAGAGGATTGGGAGAATGTCATGTGGTCAGATGAAACCAAAGTAGAACTGTTTGGTATAAACAGTTGCATCCCAAGAACACCACACCTACTGTGAAGCATGGGGGTGGAAACGTCATGCTTTGGGGCTGTTTTTCTGCTAAGGGGACAGGACGACTGATCCGTGTTAAGGAAAGAATGAATGGGGCCATGTATTGTGAGAATTTGAGCCAAAACCTCCTTCCATCAGTGAGAGCTTTGAAGATGAAACGTGGCTGGGTCTTCCAGCATGACAATGATCCCAAACACACCGCCCGGGCAACGAAGGAGTGGCTCCGTAAGAAGCATTTGAAAGTCCTGGAGTGACCTTGCCAGTCTCCAGACCTCAACCCCATTGAAAATCTGTGGAGGAATGGACCAAAATACCAGCTACTGTGTGTGCAAACCTGGTAAAGACCTACAGTAATTGTTTGACCTCTGTTATTGCCAACAAAGGTTATATTACAAAGTATTTAGTTGAATTTTAGTTATTGACCAAATACTTATTTTCCACCATAATTTATAAATAAATTCTTTAAAAATCCTACAATGTGAATGTGAATTCCTGGATTTTTTTTTCACATTCTGTCTCTCACAGTTGAAGTGTACCTATGATGAAAATTACAGACCTCTGTCATTATTTTAAGTGGGAGAACTTGCTCAATTGGTGGCTGACTAAATACTTTTTTGCCCCACTGTATAGGTATTAGGTAAGTAAGAATGTGCATTTCAAATGTTTGGCAAAATTAAGCTATTCCAAATAAAAAACAATAAAGCTAAAATGAATAGATAATAATAAATAAGCTGTTTGAAAAAGAGGCTATACGAAGCAGACACTTTTTGCTCCAGCTTCTCTCACTCGATCTCTGAGGACTTTGTTATTGTTTTTCCATACACATTTGACTTTAACGCTAATAATGTCTACTATCTGATCTGCGTGTGTTAACTCGTCGCGTTTTTTTCTCGTTCAGGTGCTGGAGTCAAAGTTGTGCGCGTACTCGAAACGGATGGTGGAGCAGAAACCTGGGAACATTCTGTACGGCACCCACGGCCCTCTGCCTCCTCTGTACAGCGTCAACCTATCCCAGCTCTCCATCCAACTGGCCAGCATGTACCCAGAGCTCACCCTGCCGCTGTTCTCAGGCAAGACACCACACATCCCTTTGCTCAATACATGGATAGGTAGGTAGGTAAGTAGACGGGTAGGTAGGTAGAAAGATAGATACATAGATAGGTAGGTAGGTCGGTTGGTCAGTAGGTACACAGACAGAAACAGTGGGGCAAAAAAGTATTTAGTCAGCCATTAATCGTGCAAGTTGTCCTACTTAAAAAGATGAGGGAGGCCTGTAATTTCCATCATAGGTAAACCTCAACTATGAGGCACAGAATGAGAAAAAAAAAATCCAAAACATCCCATGGTCTGATTTTTAAAGAATTAATTTGTAAATGGCCGTGGAAAATAAGTATTTGGTCAATAACAAAAGTTCATCTCAATACTTTGTTTTATACCCTTTGTTGGCAATGACAGTTCTCAAACGTTTTCTGTAAGTCTTCACAAGGTTTACACACACTGTTGCTGGTATTTTGGCCCATTCCTCCATTCAGATATCCTCTAGAGCAGTGATGTGTTGGGGCTGTCCCTGGGAAACACGGACTTTCAACACGCTCTATAGATTTTCTTTGGCGTTGAGAGCTGGAGACTGGCTACATATACAAGTATAACATCTCTATCAATAGCATAATAAAGAAGAAAGTATGAAATCTCCAGAGGAAACAAGAATAGTAGCTTTTTCTTCCAACAAGAACCAATAGAGAATCCAAATATAGCTTGACAGAAGAATGGTAAAATGTATGTTTGTAATTATTTGATTACTGCATAAGAAGCATATTTACAATGTCTATTTAAAATATTGCAAATATTTAAAAACTTAGATGTCTTCACAATAGTATTCAGCTTTTACTGCTCTCTCGCCGCCTCTACATAACAGATTGCACATGCATTCCCTGTAACCAGAGTCCCGAGTGAGTGAGGGGAAAGTGGTGCATTCTGGGAGCTTAGCACAGGGTGTGACTGTTGACAAATTACCGTGTGCCACTGGCAGCTGTAATAATAAGATCATTACTCATTACTGCGATGAGGACAGTTATAGATTATGTAAACATGCCGATAATGGCTGGAGGCCGACACAGAGGCCACACGGGTCTAAGTCTCTGACCTTACAGCTGTAGTCCCAGAGCTCTTTAGACGACGTCAGACTTAATCTGGTCAGGGGCCAAGTTTAAAAACATTAAAGTCTATGATTGGGCCCAAAACTATAAAAGTGATGTACTTTCACTTTTTTGTGGCCATACTTTTATGCAAAAGCCAGATCTTGTCAGACCTCTGAAAATAAGCAGGGCAGTGCCAGGTTTGTGCTGTGATGGGAGACTTCTGGGACGGTGCCAAACTGTCGTTGTGTCCTTAGGCAAGACACTTCACCCACATTAGAATGAGTCTTATTTGTGCGTGAAGGGTTGGTGGTGGTCAGAGGGACCGATGGCTTATGCCTCGCTCCTTTCAGTGTGGCCCAGGGCAGCTGTGACTACAGTATTAGTATTAGTCCATCACCACCGTGTTTGGAGTGAATGAATAATGAAATATGAAGCGTCCTTGAGTGTCCATATTTACATATTATTGCATTTTAAAAATTATTTAAATTTGACTTGAGTTTGGATATTATTTTCTAGTAGGTTTGGATTCAATAGCAACCCAGCCCAAATAGAAAAATAAGATGTAATTGAAGATTCATAGTTTAATATAAAAAGCTAATCTTTGTTGGCCAACTTAACTTCTAATTAAATGATAGTTAACATTTTAGAAAATTCTTTTCTGGTTGTTTTCCTGAGAAAATAAAATTTTAAATGAAGTATAACATGCCATAGTATAACCTTACCATCAATGTTGCAAGTTGCTGTGATAAAGATAATTGAAAAGAAGTTACGGAGGCCACGGATTTAACCACACTCAAATTCTACTAACTTTCACAGTCAAACAAAGTAGATCCTGTTTATTGACGTCACAGCCCCTCCCTTCCCTGACGATGGTGATCCGGAATGAATCCAATAAAGCAGTTTGTTCTTGAATGGTTCTGTCGTCTCTCTGCAGAGGTGAGCCAGCGGTTTTCCACCACGCATCCCAACGGCCGTCAGATCATGCTCTCCTACCTGCTGCCTTGGCTCCACAACATCGAGCTGCTGGACACTGGCCTCTTGCCCCCACCCTCCAGCCCCTGCACCCCAGATGAGGAGAACCGGGGGCAGAACGTGGGCGCCTCCCCCAGTCTGAGAGGCAGCGGCTGGGGCTCACTGCAGGCCACGTCTCTGGTGCTCAACAACCTGATGTTCATGACAGCAAAGGTACAGTTAGTTACACAAAGGTACATGGAGCTTATCCACAGCAGTTTATATAAAATCTACCAAATCATACTTCAATTAGAACTTTAGTATTATGTCTTCAAGGGCCCCTTGAACCAGAGTGTGGCAATGCTAGCTCTAGAATTTTCAGATTCAAATTAAAATGAAGCTTAAGACGACGGCGCACGCCTCAACGACGCCGCACGCTTTGACGACGGCGCACGCTTTGGCGACGCCGCACGCCTCGACAACGGCGCACGCTTTGACGACGGCGCACGTCCGCGGCCGCACGCTTTATCGCAGCTCGTCCGCGGCCGCACGCTTCATCTCAGCACGTCGGCGGCCGCACGCTTCATCGGCGCCACGTCGGTGTCCGCCTCCTGCGCATTCTCGACGCCACGCTTCGACGCATTCGTGTGCTCTCATCCATTCATAGTGGGACCAGTGTCGACCATGGACTCGCGTTCCCTATTGGGGGGTGAACAATCCAACGCTTGGAGAGTTCTGCTTCACAATGAAGCAGAACGTGATGAAGTGTACTTCATGAATCTCATTTCACCTTCTAGTCTCCCCAAGTGGAATCACGTTCGATCAGCGCTCTAAACACCAGCAGTTCATCCTTCATTCAGCACTCTCCTTTCCCTCTCACGGCACACTCTCAGTCTCTGGACATCAGCATCGCGGGTACTGCTGTCACTGCCTCATCTACATCGGCATTAAATACGTTCTCTAAAATCCACTTCGAGTCACACTGCTCCACCCTCATAAGAAGATCCTTAAAGGAGTATTGGCAATGGTCCTTGTTCTGTAGTTTAGGTCCTGGACGACTAGCCTGTCTGTCCGTGGAGTGGATTCCCTCTCTCAATGTAGGGTCTTCCGAAGGTTTCTCACTTTTTTTTCCCCACGGGGTTTTGTGAGTTTTCCTTGCCATGCAGGAGGGTCTGGACAGTTAGCGTCCAACTAGAAGGCCCGTGGTGATGATCCAGGATACTTTAACATTCTACAACATCTATGGACATTTTATCAACATTCATAGACTATAATTACTCCTTAAACAATCCCTTGACGACCCCCTGGTCTGAACAAATTCAAAACCTCTGCTCCCTGCATATAACCTCTCTTCCTTTCTCTACACCAGCCACTTGGGCGGATGCGCCTAGGACTCCCTCAATTATCTCTCCAGGAGCTCGGTCCCCGGTTCTCTACCACATTCATCTGTTCTGGCAGCCCATCGCCTCCTCTCATATAAGTACGTATGCATCTCCTGGTGGTGGCAACTCCTCATTTCCAGGATGCCGCGCACTCGAGCCGAGCTCGTGCGCGTGCCAACGCCTAGCGCTAGAGCCGAGCTCGCGCCCGGACATTACGCCGCGCACTCGAGCCGAGCTCGTGCGCGTGCCAACGCCTAGCGCTAGAGCCGAGCTCGCGCACGGACATTACGGCGCGCACTTGAGCCGAGCTCGTGCGCGTGCCAACGCCTAGCGCTAGAGCCGAGCTCGCGCCCGGACATTACGCCGCGCACTCGAGCCGAGCTCGTGCGCGTGCCAACGCCTAGCGCTAGAGCCGAGCTCGCGCACGGACATTACGGCGCGCACTTGAGCCGAGCTCGTGCGCGTGCCAACGCCGCGCACTCGAGCCGAGCTCGTGCGCGTGCCAACGCCTAGCGCTAGAGCCGAGCTCGCGCCCGGACATTACGCCGCGCACTCGAGCCGAGCTCGTGCGCGTGCCAACGCCTAGCGCTAGAGCCGAGGTCGCGCACGGAAACAGTCACTCACACCATGCGCCTTCCATAAACGCAGCAACCAAGTCATAGCAAACGCATCGCTAGCCAAGCTCTCTTTTTGGGGATCATGATCTGCACCCAGGCGCAGATCTCTTCAGAGCACGGCCACAGCCGGGGCCTAAGCGCCAAACCAATAAACAAACTCAATCCATAAAATAAACAACTCTTAAACGCATCTCGTCTCTTGTAGTCTCTCCAGGTTGAAATGAAGCTTAAGCGGAGGTTCAGGATGGTAGACTACCTACGTTATCACACCAGGCTTAACCACGCCTTACTCAGCCTGTCTTAATCAACTCCCCGCAGCCGTGTCAATCAAGCCAGCGTTTAAGAGCAAAGCAGAGCACAGCTCACCAAACGGACTTCAAGCTGCAACCACCTCCTCCCCACCTCCGCCTCAGGATTTCTTCACTCTCACCTTGCCTTGTTGCCACCACCAGTGTCTAGGCCCCGGGGGATCATGATCTGCACCCAGGCGCAGATCTCTTCAGAGCACGGCCACAGCCGGGGCCTAAGCGCCAAACCAATAAACAAACTCAATCCATAAAATAAACAACTCTTAAACGCATCTCGTCTCTTGTAGTCTCTCCAGGTTGAAATTCATTTATTATATTGTGTCTTGCGAAATGTGTCTTGGAGCAGGGGGGAGGTCAGTTGCACCCACATACAGTATAGGCAAGGTAAGTTTATTTTTATAGCACATTTCATACACAAAACAAGATAGAAATAATTAATCACAGTCCAGTCCAGTTTATTTGTAAAGCACTAATGAAACAACAATTAGAAAATACAAAACAGTGGCAAAAACACACTATTTACAGCAAAAAATCAATTCAAAATCAATTAAAAGTCAATGGAAACAAGTGAGTCTTAAGGCGAGACTTAAAAACAGGAAGTGAATCAGTCTCACACACAGTACATTGGAAAGAAAGATAAACATATAAAATCCCTCAGTTGTATACACAGCTAAGTTGAACTGTTTTGAACCTGGATTTAAACATAGTCAGAGAAGAAGCTTGTCTCACATATTCAGGAAAACTGGTCCATATATATACAGACATGACATAAAACACAGACAATACACACATTAACACTGACACAATTGCACAATCACCTGTTATTTAGCATTTGTATGGACTGAGGCACAAAAGAGTTCTTTGTCTACGATTTATTTCGTAGATTTTTGGGGATCTCTTAAACACAAGTTAGTTTTTAGTTTTGGAAGTGTAATTACTCAGCTCATGTACATTTTTGGTCTTCATAACATTTTCTGTTGCTTTATGCTGTTTTTTTTTAAATTCTTTAATTCTCTCTTTTCATTTTAATAAATTATCTTTTATTGTTTAGATTATCCCAGACTCCCTTGTTTTTCCACCAGAGAAGAGCAAGTCCTAGTTACCATAGCAACATACTGTTTACTTGCTCCCAGTTACTTTCTTGCTTTATGTTAAGACCAAACTGAATTGGTGTGTTCTTCTATATTTAAAAAAAAGTATTTCTTGTGATTTCAGTACGGAGATGAGGTCCCTGGTCCTGAGATTGAGAATGCCTGGAACGCTCTGGTCTCCAATGAAAGATGGTGCAACAACTTGAGAATAACGCTGCAGTTTCTCGTCAGTCTGTGTGGAGTCAGCAGCGACACCACACTGCTGCCTTATGTACGTCTATTAGCTGTTAGCCGTGTGTGTTTGTGTGTGTGTGTGTGTGTGTATGTGTGTCGTATCAGATCGGTCTTTTTTATACAAGACATTATTACGGAAATTCAGCCTGGCATCATGACCATATAGAATGATGAATGTACTGAGATTGTACGGACAGATGCAGAGAATGGATGAAGAGAGATTTACAAAGACAGTGATGAATGGTTGCGTAGCAGTGGTAGTAGACCGAGAGGTAGGCCAAGGTATGGATGGAATGAGGGCGTGAAGAGAGAGGCGGTGAATGGGAGAGATTTGTGCGCTAGATAGGGGAGCATGGAGAGTGATTGTGAATTCATGAACTGACCCTGGCATGTGCACTGCCGACATGAAAGGGAGGAGAGTAAACCAGTTAAGCCAGGGCCATGACCCCGCCGTGGTGGCACCGGGTCTAGATAGTTGACCTGAAGAAATGGTTCACGGCAATAGACAGATAGATAATTGGGCTGATTAAAACACCCAGATCAAAATTAGATTAGCTTAGATTCCATTTGATTAGAGTCAACTTTATTGTCATTACAAAGTTAGACAAAATGCAGTTTAGCTTCTAACCAGGAGTAAAATATTGCAAGGATAGGATAATATTTACAACACATACAAAATATATAAGCATATATGTGACACCGTACAAATCTGATATTGTTAGTATAGACATAAAAACGTATAAGATTTGTTTCTGGAATGATCAAAAGATTGACATTAAATCCAGAGCCAAAAACTGGATTGTGACATCCCCTAGTATCCATAGTGTCCAGGAACTCTCACTCACTGTCTTCAATAAGTTCCTCTCACTAATGTCTGTATTTTTGTGGTTTTAGATCAAGAAGGTGGTTATTTACCTTTGCCGTAACAACACCATCCAGACAATGGAGGAGTTAATATTTGAACTTCAACAAACGGAGCCGGTGAACCCAGTGGTGCTGCACTGTGACAACCCGCCATTTTACCGTTTCGCTGCCAGTAACAAAGCTCCCACATCGCAGACCGGTTAGTTTAAAGGGGACACAGCATAAAAATCCACTCAGATTTGTGCCATGTTATAGTTGTTTCCCCTTGTTATTTGTACACATAGCTGTTTTGTGCACAATTCATTCAGGTTTGAGTTATTTATATCCTCATATACTGTACGTGCGCCGTCATTGCTCTCCCCTCAGTCCTCTGACTACCGGCATCTAGCCTCTCCCCCTCTCCCCCCCCGGGTTTTACTTACTTTCTTTGGCAATTATTTTATGTTCTCATCTATTGTTTCTTTCATTGGATTGGATTAGTTCAAGCATTTTTTTAAATTAATGATATGTTTAAAGAAGAGCCATAGGGGTTATAGATTATCACATTATAGACGACAGAATCCGCACTCATGTCCTCGTTCTACAGCCTGAGTCCTGGATCTACAGCCTGTCTGTCCGTGGGAGTGGATGCCTCTCTCATGGTGGGGTTCCCTGGGGTTTCTCACTTTCTTCCCACTGGGTTTTGAGTCGTTCCTTCCAGATTCCGGGAGTTCTAAGGAGATGGTCCCTAAAATTTAAGGACAATTAGTTAAATTTGATTTTTTAAAAGACGGATGAATCTTTGAAATACATTTAGCTTTTTGTGTGCACTACCTTGGACAACTGTGTGTTTATGAAATGTGCTTTATATAAAAACACAATTGGATTGATAGATTGTGCTTTCTTTGTTTATAGGAACCACGTCGAGCAGTAACACTGTGGTGGCTGGTCCTGAAAATCTCCCGGACACAGATGACACCAAACTGGGCCGAGACAGTGACGACCGGTAAGAACTCATGGGCTATCATTATATCTACTAATTGTTTACTACTACTACTACTACTACTACTACTATTACTACTACTACTACTATTACTACTACTATTACTATTACTATTACTACTACTATTACTACTACTACTACTACTACTACTACTATTACTACTACTACTACTATTACTACTACTATTACTATTACTATTACTACTACTATTACTACTACTACTATTACTATTACTATTACTACTACTACTACTACTACTATTATTACTACTGCTACTATTACTATTACTACTACTACTACTATTACTACTACTGCTACTATTACTATTACTACTACTACTATTACTACTACTACTACTACTTTTTTTTTTTTTTTTTTTTTTTTTAATCCTAGCCCGGAGTTATCGAGTGAGAAAAAAAGCTATGCCTCACGGTTGACCCTGGCCTGGTCTTATTGCCAGAGAATCCCGCCTCGCTTCCCTGTGCAGGTGGACTTACAGGTGCGAGCTCCTGGGGAGGTGACCCAGGGGGAGGGGAGCGACCCGGGGGGAGGCCCGGGTACTGCAGGACTTGGCCTCTTTAAAAGTGGCCTCACCTGCTAAAAAAAACTCACTGAGCTCCTTTGAATGGGCTTAGGGATGTGCCTACAGTGCTTCAAGAAATGTGGTCCAGTTTTCCTTCGTCAGATCTACCAGGTCGATTTGTGACATATTTTGGGCTTTTGCATCTTCTTCGATTTGTCTTATCCATTGTTTCCTTTGTCCACCTTCTTGTTTTTTCCCTTTTGGCTTCCAGTCAAGAATGATTTTTTGTATTCTTGAGTCTTCCATTGTTCGTATTCTTTGCCAGAATTTCATTCTTCTTTTTGCAATAATACTCAGGATTTTAGAGCATTTGCATTTTAGTCTCAGCTCTTCAGATGTAATGTGAGCGCTGGTGTGAATACCAGTTATCCTTTTCAGCATTCGGTTTTGAAATGCTTCAAGCCTCAGCTTACTGTCCTTCTTAATGACCCATGTCTCTGATCCATACAGCAGGACGCTCAGCACCAAGGACTGGTACAGAGACACTTTTGTGTCTAGTTTGTACTCTGAGGAGCTCCAGATCATTGTAAGTTCTGCTGCTCTTCTACCAGCGTCTGCGATCTTCTGCTTTATTTCTCTTTGGTGGTCACCATCGCCTTTTATAATTTGACCCAAATATTTGAATTCTTCCACAATGTCATAGTTTTTTATTGTTTCTGAACTCTCTGTGTCCCACACTAATGGAGCACTATGTGTTTTTTTCCTGCTCCCTCTTTGGTTACGATTGCTTCTTTTGACCCTTCCAGCAGTGCACCATCTTGATTTGTGAGTTTTTAGGCCCAGATCAGTATCAAAGGATCTCTGACACTGGTCACACCGGAAGAGAGGGTCATGTTCTTTCCTTGTTTGTGCTTCCACTGTCTTCTTACACCACCTAGTCTGATGTAATACTAGTCCGCGTGATGTAGAAAAGATTTTTTTGCAGGAATTACAAATGTATTCATCAGCTTTTCCAGATGCATCCTCTGAGGTTCCTTTTGCGGTTCCTTCGGTGGTTCCTTCGGTGGTTCCTTGTACGGTTCCTTTTGTGGTTCCTTCAGTGGTTCCTTCGGTGGTTTCTTTGATGGTTCCTTCCGTAGCCTTATTCCTGCAGAAGCGGGCCTCATGCACAGCTTTGCCTCGTTTGTTTTTAAATTTTGCACCACAGAATTTGCAGCAGTTTTCATCCTTTGAGTCGTCCTCATTGGTGAATATAGACATTGTGCCAGTGGCACCAGTAGTCCCAAATTTCATAATTTTTGTTTTGCTGTCATTGATTTGTAAACCAACAAGTTCAGCAGTTTCTTTTAGGGAGCGCACAACAAGATCTAAATCATCTGTTGATCGCGCTACAATTGCAATATCATCAGCAAATTCCATGTCACTTATAACTGTTCTGTCACTTCCAACTTTAACAGATATGCATTGGTCCTGAAGTGTTCCAAGTGAGTGTTTAATCACCCAGTCAAGAACTACAATAAATATTAAGGGACTGAGGATGCATCCTTGTTTCACACCCTTCATCAGTGGGAACTCCTTACTCAGTGAGTTCTTCCATCTAACCGTAGCCTTTGGTCTTTCATAGATGTTCTTCATCAGATCAATATAGTCATCTGGGAGTCCATATGTAGCGAGTATCCTAAACATTTGGTCTCTTCCAACTGAATCAAAAGCCTGTCTGAAGTCAATGTAGCAGCAGTACAGAGAGGACTGGAAAACACTAGATTTTTCTATGAGTTGGTTTAGGATGAACAGCTGGTCAATTGTGGATCTTTTAGCGCGAAACCCACATTGATTTTCTCTCAGATGGTTGTCAATATTCTTAAGAACTCTATTTTTGATTATTATTAACATAGTTTTTCCTACCACACTTAGTAGTGAGATTGGTCGATAATTACTACAATCACTGGCAGATCCTTTCCTTTTATAAACTGGTATAATGATAGATTTCAACCAGTCTGCCGGAACAATTTTTTTGCGCCAAACCTCTCTACAGATTAAAAGTAGAGTTTCAAAAACGGATTGTCCAGTCTTCAGTTGTTCAGCGTGTATCTCATCTACTCCAGCTGCTTTTCGAGGCTTTAGCTCCTTAAGTGCCTTTTGTAGCTCCTCTTCGTTGATGTCGTCAGTGTTATACAGACATTGTTCTATGTGAGTTTCATTGATTAGCTCAGTGAACTTGTCTTCCATCTCCTGTGTCAGTTCCTGTGCCTCAAAGACTTTTCTGAAATGGTTTTCCCAGTCCAATGGTGTTAAGTCTGAGTGGGTGTTGTCTTTGATGCCAACCTACTACTCCTATTACTACTACTACTGCTTACTACTACTACTAGTGGCTAGGGCGGCACGGTGGCTGAGTGGATAGCACTGTCGCCTTTCAGCAAGAAGGTCCTGGGTTCAAATCCCGGTCGGACCAGGGCCTTTCTGAGTGGAGTTTGCATGTTCTCCCCGTGTCTGCGTAGGTTTCCTCCGGGTGCTCCGGTTTCCCCTACCACTAAAAATATGTACAATAGGTCTGGCATGCGCCTCCTGTCCGGCGACCCCGCTCCCATCTCTGTGTGGAGTGAGAGACAAGTGCCCAAAAATAACAATTGTAAACCGCTTTGTGACTCTGGTCTGTGAAAGGTGGTATATAAATAAAAATTACTTACTTACTTACTACTTACTACTAATACTACTACTACTACTACTGCTTACTACTGTTACTGCCGCTACTACTACTACTTCTACTACTACTGCTACTACTACTACTACTACTGGTACTACTGCTGCTACTACTACTACTACTACTTCTAGTTCTTCTACTACTACTACTACTGGTACTACTGCTGCTACTACTACTACTACTTCTAGTTCTACTACTACTACTACAACAGCTACTACTACTACTATTACTACTGCTGCTACTACTACTGCTACAACTACTGCTTCTACTACTGCTTACTACTGTTACTGCCGCTACTACTACTACTACTGCTTACTACTGTTACTGCTGCTACTACTACTACTACTGCTTACTTCTGTTACTGCTGCTACTACTACTACCACTATTACTACGACTACCAATACTACTACTACTTGTACTACTACTGCTGGCAGCATACAGGGGTAAAGAGACTACTTTCTTTTATGCCATTGTTTGAGATTGAGATTTCCCTGTTTCTCACATTTCTGTTTCTTTGGCAGCAGAGCGAGGGCACACAACAGACTGGAGTCACGCTACAGCAACAGCTCCGGCGGCTCCTACGAAGATGAAAAGAGTGAGTTTATGTTTTGTTGTGTTTTTGTTCTCATGAGAGAATGTCCCAGACAGAGAAGCCCAGAGGTGTTAGAGGCGACAGTGGTGTGTACAGGGCTCCAGGACATACATTCTCACTGTCTCACTTTTGACACTGATCCTCAACTATAATGAATGAACAATTTGTCAGTTTTTGTCAAATCATGTGGATCAAATACGACTTACGTATGGTACCATGGTGTGCATCCTTGATTATTGGATGTTCATTTTCAAAACGTATATTTATTTAATGTTTTTGTCTTACGTGTACGACAAACGATATTGCATTCACACCCAATGTTCAGCTCCTACTATAGGATTACATGCCTACAGGAAGTGCACGAGTCTGATGAAAAATAAGACAAAAGAACTGGTTTGACAAGTACTAATAATATATATTTGTATTTAATAAATATATATATTTTTAGTGCTTAACTAAATAAGATAAGAAATTATTATACAAGGCATTAAAATCATTGATAATCAGTACAACAAAAGAGTTGTTGAGTCCATTATTACCCCTATATTTTTGACCATTATATTTACAACTTCATTTACAACTTCTATCAATACTTCTTTCTTATGCACAGGAGATAAACATATTCAGAGTTTATCTGTGGTAATATTTCTTGTGTTGTTGTAGCGGATCCTCTCCCGCCGTATGCTGGTTGGCTGTTGAGTGTTCTGGAAACAAACCGCCCTCAGCCTCTGCCGATGCCGGTGAACGGAGGCTGCTGGGCTCCTCTGGTCGACTACCTCCCAGAAACCATCACTCCCAGAGGGCCCCTGCACAGGTGAGACATACCCCTCCAGAGGCCCAAACCTCCACCCTCCAGAGGTCCTCACCCTCCAGAGGCCCAGACCCCAGATAAAGATAATTTCTAGTTTATTTGTGGTAATATTTCTTGTGTTGTTGTAGTCTAGCGTAGCCAAAGGCCCGCAAGACTATTTTCAGTGGCCCCTGAAAAGATTTTAGATTAACACTAACTGACTTTGAGAAATGTTCGAATGTGAGCGGTGAGCTCAATCTTTTTGCTCTTTTTTCTTTTTTTGTAATGAATACAAAAATAAAGTCAGGTAATGCAGCTTTAAGTTGCAGACTGTATTGGAATGTTATACCTATTTTAAAATCAAAATTTTATGAAGAAAATTACTATTTATTTGATTATTCAGAAATAGTACGCAAAAATGTAATTAGCAGTTATATATTTAAATGCCTGTCCTCGAAGTTCAAATGATGACCCCCAGAGGCCCCTGTCCACAAAGGACCATCTCCTCAGTCATCTGCAGACGGAGCACATTCTTGTATCTGCTCACAGCTGTCACTCTCCATTCAGCGATTAAACTCAGACAATAACGAGCCTGTCAGGTTACTGTCGCAGCTACAGAATGTTCTGGATGATGTGAAATATGTACAGTGTGGAGCACCTGCTAAATCATTATCGAATTCAAAGTTATGACAGCAGTGTCCTTGAGCAACAAAAAAGTCACATGTGCAAATCAGTTTTTTCTCTGAGCTGCCAATATTACATCTGTTCCATGTGTGACTGGAAAAGATATATGAATACAATTTAGTTTGGTAGATTTGTTATTTCATTTTTTAATTCATCAAATTATTTGTTGTTTTAATCATGGTTTTGTGAAATAATTTAGTCTAGTTTTAGAAGATGGAAATGTCCTCTTAACCATAAACATTTGTAATTTAATATGAGCTTGTGTGTGTAAATGATTTAAACAGTGTATATAGGTAAGTTTAAGATAAAATTGAAAATGTTAATATAGTGTAGAACGGCCCAACCAGGGACTGGAATTGAAAATAAGCAATATTTATAAACTCTTTTTGCATCGCGTCAGTTACAACCTTGTTTTGTTCTATGTTAACTTGCAATGTCCATGTCAAATAAATTAATAAATTCAAATAAAAATGTTGCAAGATATTTGTGGGAAGCCAAGTCGCTGTATAGATATAGATACATATAGATATATGATTGCTAATTCACAACTTTTAGTGTGTACTTTTACATTGTGCCTTCCTCTTTTTCAGATGTAACATTGCGGTGATCTTCATGACGGAGATGGTGGTGGACCACAGTGTGAGAGAAGACTGGGCCTTACACCTGCCTCTCTTACTGCACGCTTTGTTTTTGGGTATGTGCCACAGAACAGTGTGACTCCAAAAACATATTTCATTTCATCCCAAAATACAGACACGTAATTGTATCTGTAGTCTGTCAGAAGTTTAAAAATGATGTGCCACTTCTGGATGAATCCCTTGAGTGTTGATGTGCACAGTGTGGTAGTTGATTGTCCGGCAGTAAAGATGAAAGAATTGCCTCTAGATGTAAAGGATTTTTATGCTGTGTATCGCGTGGGAATCAATGTAATGTTCTACTTGTACGTGTTCCATGGAGATGGATGAAGGTAGTCCGCAGTCCTGTACAGCCTCCTGTTTGCCGTATCCTCGTTATTGTCAATAGCACCCCTTGTTTAATCAAGGTCAAAAGTGCGGCTCAGAGATCTAAAGTGAACACAGGTATTGCTGGGCCCCTGCCTGCGTTATATTAAACAGTTAATCAAATTAATATGTCGTTTCAGGGAAAAGTTAAGTGAGAGTCCATGTTGGCGGTAAATTACCTCCCAACGACATGGAAGGTCGACGGGTAGAGTAGCAAAATGTTGCACACAAGTTGGGTTATTTATTATAGTTAAAAGTAAGTGGCACTGGAACTAAACTGTTACTACAAACAAAATTAAAAAAAGTAGTGGGCCAATGAACTGAACCCCGGGGGGACCTCCACTGGGGCCATATCCCAAGGTTTCTGTATAGGTGTTCGCATTAGCTACTATAGCTTCAGATAGACGGCGGGAAGAAAAATATGACGGGGTTGTATTATTTGTGGAAGCCTATGTAGAAGTAATTCTTGTGCATTCTACGATTTTACTGATGTCATCACTGCACTAACCTTATTCTTGTAGAGATGCCGGGGTTAGATGTCGAGTTTTCCTGTCCGAGCCGCAATGTCTTGAGCGTGCATGATAATGAAATACTTTCTCCGGGTTGGTTTCCAGAGACGTGTTTTCTCAAAGACGCTGATCCACAAGGGTGGAAACGCGGTGGTGTCCTCATGCCTTCTACATCATAGCAAACTCAAAAACTGACCACGGCTTTGGCAGCTGTGCCTATGCTGATGTTAACCTTCATACCAGCCTGGAATATTTTCTCGGATTACATGCAGGTGTTAAGTAAGGGATCTTACATAAGACCACAAGTTACACATTCTGTCATGTACTATAATACGGCCAAGGCAAGTTTTAGTTGGTTTACACAAGTGCATTCATAAGACGCTTTGTTCTTTGACAAAACACTGATAATAAATATGTCTGTGTGGTGTAACCGGGAGGGGGAATCTATTGTCCGAGAAGAGACCTCGTCTCACATTGCAGGAAGACGTAGAAATTTTAGCGGTTTATATCGAAACGCAGCCCTGCCCCAGGGTTTGGTGGAGTCTTTTAGACTGATTATATTAAACGGCCGCCGTGCGGCACAGGGGTCCTGAGGTGTGATGGGACCCTTGCCGGTGGGGTACTGGTGGCAGAGTCGTCGCACTGCGTCTGAGTAATGTCCCGCCATGTGCGCCATGTGGCCCGGGCGGTATCGATATTGTTTGGAGTTTTTAATGTGCAATGCATCTAAGTACAGGGCGTTTCTCAAAAGTAGGAACTCAGCGAGTCTTTTGGGGGGCGTGACATAGGGTGTTTTGTGTAACAACCAAAAAACGTGTGGGATGTGAGGGGTGAGTGTGTCTAACGGGGTGGGTCGCGAGAGTCTTGGATTGAACTTGTTGGTGCAGGAGCTATAAGGTTCCTAGTCATTTTACACAGTGTGCACTACTTAAACAAATTAGAGCATAGGTTGGTTCTGTAATAGGTGCCCATGACGACTTAATTACCTGATACTTAAAACGTATGCTTTGTCCATGTTGTGGTACGATTGGTGCGGGACCACGACAGGCCTAAGGTGGTATACGAACACTGCAAACGCCTGCGCGCCTCCGGCAGCTGCCGCTCCGCCTGGTAACAACAACTTCCAGGTCTGATTAGATATATGCCTTTGTTCTGGTGGGGTAGTTAGTGTGCTGAGAAGCGGCGCTCTCTCAACCATGGTGTTGCGGGGGGCCACCTGGTCTGAGACGCTGGGGTGGATGCGACCAAGAGATAAGCGACAATAAGACTCTGACCATCAAGTCCAGCTATCATTCGGAATACCAGCAATCACGTAAGCATTGAAACCATATCTTTGAAACTGACTTTTTTACCGCTTAGAAGGTGCTTTTGACAGGACAAAAAAGTAAAGAAAATAAGAATTATTACTGACTTTTTTACCACTTAGAAGGTGCTTTTGACAGGACAAAAAAGTAAAGAAAATAAGATTTATTCACTGCTGTTGTCTGTATCCTCTTACCTCTCGGCCCAAAGCTACGTTCCAGATGCTGTCAATGCTGAGGGGTGTGTTTTTTAGTTTAGCCGCTGTGGACTTCAGAGGACACTCGTTAAATGAATGGCGCTCGTGCAGCTGACACATGCACAAATGCGGTTTTTTTTCACATTTTCTAGCCCCTGTGGCCATTTTGAAACTGCCCACAGATGGCGAAAGTGGTGGCACATTAGTTTCAACGCCAGAGATTGGCGTGGCTACGTTCGTTAATATTTACAGTCTATGGTTCTGCCTTAACTCCGAAAAATGTGAGGTAAATAAGCAGTACTAGCTTTCGATACTTTGTCTTAATACAACAAACATAAGAAGACAAAATGCACTTTTTTACATTTGACTTTTTTACTGTCTCGACCAGTGGTGGGCAAAGAGGTTGTGAAGTTGTAAAGTGCTTTGGGTGACCTTGGTCTATAAAATGTGCTATATAAATAAACATTACTTACTTTCTTACTTACTAGTATAAATTGTTCTATGTAATATATAATATAATTTATACGCATGAAAAATTAAGCCTTATTTTATTTTATTTAACGTGTATTTGTATTGTTCCTCCCTGTTTTAGACACCCCAGACTTCTTGAGGGAGTGGCAGGCGTCTCCGGTGGCGGACTCCGGCCTGAGCTCCACGTCTAACTCCTCCGTGGCGAGTCTGGGCGGGGGCAGCACCGCGGGGAGCGTGGGGAACCTGCCCATAGTGACGCCAGACGACCTGGAGGACCTGGAGGACGCTCCCAACGAGAATGACGAGAAGACACACAAGCTGATCGAGTTTTTGTCCACGAGGTAAGTGTAGTGTAAAAAACTACCTGTCAGACAAGGCAGGTTTATTTGTAAAGCACAGTTCATCCGCAAGGCAACTCAAAGTGCTCAACAAAACAAGATTTTGATACGAGACATGGCCATGTTCATCTTTAGCTGGTTCCCTAACCTCACTGATTTGACAGGAGTATACAGAGATAACAGCTCTGTCTGAGACCATAGAGAGATCAGAGAGAGACCTTACAGAGGACTGAGAGAGACCTGAGAGATCAGAGTCCGGAGAGAGAGACCAGAGACCGGAGAGAGAGACCAGAGATCTGAGGAAGACCTGAGAGAAAACAGAGAGACCAGAGACCTAAGAAAGAGACCAGAGAGAGACCTGAGAGAGACCTTAGAGAGACACCAGAGACCTGAGAGAGAGAGCAGAGAGAGACCTGAGAAGGACCAGAGAGAGAACAGAGAGAGACCAGAGACCTAAGAGAGACCTTAGAGAGAGACCAGAGAGAGAGAATAGAGAGAAACCAGAGACCTAAGAGACCTTAGAGAGAGACCAGAGAACTTTGATTAATCTTTCATCCATAGTGGGTGCATGTGTGCTTGAAGTGTGTGAGTTTGCGCGAGTGTATGTGTGTGTGTATGTGTCCGTGTGTGTGTGTGTGTGTGTGTGTGTGTCTGTTCCATCTTGCTGTGGTGATAACGTGTCTGTGGTGACCTGGTGGTGGGAACAGTGCCTGGAGTACTGTGTTATCATTACTCAGAGCCTTTGGACCTCTGTGGGCGCACGAGGACATCACCCCCAAAAACCCAAACTGTAAAAGCTCCGAGCAGCTTTCCAACTTCCTCCGTCACGTCGTGTCTGTCTTCAAAGAGTCTAAATCAGGTGAGGAAAAATACTGCCACTTTTTTACTAAATATTGCCACAAATACTGTATAAAGAGTCTGTTTTCTGTCCATTTGATTGTTCTTTTTTTAGGGAAACAAACTCGAGTTTTGTTTAAGAAAGTCTACATATCAACACGTTTAAGTACATGTTTTGATTGATATCTATCTTGTTTTGGAGTGCTTCTTTCTCCTACTGTTCTTGAACTTTGTTGGCATTTCCCCCATTGTGGGACAAAATAAATACTTGATAAGCAAATAGCAAGACGCTTATATGAGCAATTAGCCATTCACAGCATATTCTCGGAGCTACGATGTTGGTGTGGTAACATCTATGAGCTAAAGTGTTTTTATTCAACAGAAGGATTTCCTAAAGCTATGGACGATGCCAACCCGCTAGCTCAATAAAGCCCAATAGGGAAGTGCTCACGGACAGAGTGTTGCTGGCTCCTTGTTGGCAACATGTCTGCCCCCAGCCATAGACTGTTACTGTGCAATGTTAATGCCGTCGGAACAAATGCCCATATATGGAAATTGGCTCTAGCTAGCTTATGTTTAAACACTGCAGGTGTCATGTCCTCTTGTCACATATTGGTGAGCAGCTAAAGAAAGCAATGTTTATGAATTAGATAAGTCTAGGTCAAAGGACAGTTTTATTTGCATAATAGATTTTGCACCATGTAACTGTGGCAATATTATATATGTATATATAATTTATAGTTTGCACTGGAAATGAAAACTTACACACACTTATTTGAAATTTTAAAAATAATAATAAGTGGGCCAAGAATTGAACCCTGGGGGACTCCACAGTGCAAAGTCACATATTACCTGCTATAGCACTATATGCATTCATATATGTGATAGAAATGTAATGACTGTTTTTATATTTATGTAAGTAGCAGTAGTAGTAATGATTTATGGTAGTAATCATGTAAATCATGTAAACTAATTAATCAACTAAACTAATAAAGCCACAGAGCTCTAAGCCTAATTGCTTAAAGGTGATTCCTTGTCCTAATCTCAACTAAGACAAACTGGTGGCAGACCCAGGACCAGTAACATCACATAGTCCTAATTTAAAGCAGGGGTCCCTGATTTTAAATGTGCTGGTTATTTGAACCTGTCAAATTAGTTACCATTAAACCACTATACTTTTTTTGCATTTATAGTTTCTTGGCCTCTTGAGCAGCTTTAGATCATCTTTTGTCAGACAGAAAAGGGAAGTTGAGATTACTACCATCGCTTTCAGCCATAAGTGTCATATATGGACTCACTGGGCTCTTCCTTAGGAGTTAGAATTTTTATTTTTTATAGGATGAAGAAAGCATGTTGTGGTTTGCTTTCCCTTCCAATGTTTTTCCTGTTCAAAGCTCTCTCTGTTAAACAAAATGTATCGAAACAAGTGTATTAGTATTAGTTGAAATAATGTATCTGAATCCATGTAATACTGTTTATCCTTAGATTTCCACTTGGAGCAGCAGCTGAGTGACGTGGCCTTGCAGACCGCCTTGTGCAGCTCCTCTCGACACTACGCCGGTCGCTCCTTCCAAATATTCCGAGCTTTGAAGCAACCGATCAACAACCACGCCGTGTCCGACCTGGTGTCCCGGCTGGTGGAGGTGGTGGGGGAGCACGGGGACGAGGTGCAGGTATGCAAACATAAATATATATTTATGTTTTTTTATCTTAAATTCAACGTATATGTATTTTAATGTAATGTTTTCTCTCAGGGCTATGTGATGGAAGTGCTGCTGACGCTGGAGGCAGTGGTGGTGAATCTGGCCGAGTGTCTGAAGAACAGTGACCTCATGGCAGCACTAACCAGGTATTCTAACCTAGTAGTAGTAGTAAGATGAGGAGCATTAGCTGTAGTAGTAGTAGCAGTAGCAGTAGTATTAGGAGCAGTAGTAGTAGTAGTAGTAGTAGTAGTAGTAGTAGCAATAGTAATAGTGTAGTAACAGCAATAGTAGTAGTATTTTTATTTTATTTATTTATTTAATCTTTAATTCAGACACACAAAGTAGTAGAAGTAGTAGCAATAGTAGCAGTAGTAGTAGTGAGCATAAGCAGTAGTAGTAGTAGTAGCAGTAGGAGCAGTAGCAGTAAAGGCAGTAGCAACAGCAGTAGCAGTATTTACTAGTTGTTGTTGTAGTAGTAGTAATAGTAGTGGCAGCAGTAGTAGCAGTAATAACAGGATTAAATTGTAGGTATTTAGTGAAACGTGGATTTTTAATGTTTTCAAAAACTGAAATTGTAGAAAATACAGGATATGTGTAATCTACTCCGCCATCAAGTGGTGTAGGTATAGTCTCAGTTTATAACTTCAGTGTAATTGATTTCAAGAGTGTAATTTGACTGAGAAATTCACAAAACTAATATTTATGGTTAAACATGGAGAATGTAATAAGAGTTTACAAGAAAGCACAAAACTCCCATCTTGTGTTAGAAGTGGGAAATACATTTTAGATTTAGATTAAAATCTAACATTGCTCAGTCAGAATAAAAGTTGTAATTAACTTGGGCTTATAGGCACAAAAAAGTTTTGTTTTTGCCTTCATAGACTGAAAGTGTGTCATAAGGAGTTTTAGAAATGAGAATTTGGACAGGGGGGAAAAATGTAGCGAGGTTAAAAGCTGAAAAAGGACAGTTTTCTGTCATCTTTGTCCTTTGATAATCATGTAAAAGTCAAAGAATGACCTTGACATCTCTGTTCTCTGCAGGACGTCTTCCCCTGACTTCTTACTGAGTGATAAGCTGATGAATAGAAAGAGCACGGGACAGCTGAACTTCCCAGGACCGGGATTCGCAGGTTTGGCGTCGCAGCGGCACCAGCGCTCCTACTCTGTCCCTAAGAAGTTTGGGGAGTACGGAAACCTCTCCAGTGACCCCCCTCGCAGTGCCACTTTAGACCGGATACAGGCAAGAGTAAATATTCACGCATTTCATTCATGTATGACATAGAAACTCTCCTGGGACAACAAGGTATTCCTTTAACCTAGACCTCAAACATAAGGATGGTGGTTGCTATGTTTTTATTTCCCTTTTTTCACAACAACAATTTGAAATAGATAATGATAGATTAACACTCATAGACATACATCTACACAACAAAACAAAAAGGTACATGGAGGATTTGAACAACATACTATATATACAGTATATATGGGGGGAAATAACGGAAAAGTTTGGCTATATTTTTTAGTGGGTACTTATTGTATAAAGGAACAGGTAAAACATACCCAACTCTACTCTATTCTACATAACTTTTTAGTGGAGAAAATCACAAAAACTGAAACCAACCCTAGATTTGTATATATATAGAGATATAGATAGATCAATAAAGTATCTATCTATCTATGAAACAGAACTTTTAAAAGTGTCTCTTAAAAAAGCATTAACTTAATTGTATAAACTTGTCTCCCTCCTGGTTGTCTTACTTCTTTCTTTGTCAAACACAAACCAAACAAAAACCTCTTGATTTTATATAAATCTATTGTTTGGCTATAAATAAGTACTGCGGCTTTAATATAATATTTTGTTTTTAAATACACAGGCATGCAACAATGGCCTTTCCCGAGCAGGGAGACCCCCCGGCTCCTGTTCGTCCTCGACCAATCGGATCGACCCGAGTGCTTTGTCAGACCCCGCCCACGTGTCGCACCCCTCGTCCATACTGGCCACAGTCTTCTGGGTCGCGGTGTCTCTCATGGAGTCGGACTTTGAGTTTGAATATCAGATGTCGCTACGGCTCGTTCACAAACTGCTGTCAAAGGTAAAGGAAATACAAAGGACCTGATGCACAAAATATACAGAAATATACAGGTGTTTGGTTCCAGTCTTTCTCAACTTAAACATAAACAAAAGAGAGAGCACATTACCCCTGTGCTGGCCTCACTTCACTGGCTCCTTGTCACATTCAGGACTAAGATTCTAATGCTTGTTTTTAAATGCTTAAATGGCTTAGAAGTGCTACCTCCATACTTCTCTCTGGTCTCTCTCTCATTTGACTTGACTAAGCACACACATACCCTCATTCAGACTAGACATAGGCTCAAAACACTCTCAGACCTTACACCTCCCCCCTTTCACTCACCCCTCTCTCTCCTCCTCTGGCTTATGGCTCTCTGTATCCGATGTTTTATGTGAGTGAGACTTGATACTATTTCCTTTCTGCTTCCTAGGTGCCCTTAGATCGAATAGAGAACCGGGAGCGGCTGGAGAAGCTGCAGGCTCAGCTCGGGTGGAGTGGCTTCCCTGGGATCCAGCAGCTTTTACTCAAGGGCTTCACGTCTCAGGTGACCTCTGACCTGACGCTGCAGCTCTTCTGCCAGATCACCCCCGTGTCCCGAGTGGCAGTGGTCGACAGCTCCACGTCCATAGGTCTGTATGTAGGACAAGACAGGTTCTCTATTACAATCCAGGCTGTGACTTGCATTTTTTACTTACAATGGTAATGATTCTGATTCTTTTTTTCTTTTCAGTTTTTAGATATTGTTTATTGAATTTTCACCATTTTATTAAGATTAAGAGATCCTTTATTTTGTTTTTTAATCTCTAACTTTAGCATAAATATAAGGAATATAATATATAATCTCCAACTTTATCATATTGAAAATTATAAGAATTTAGAATACAGTTTGAAAATCCAGTCGATTGTACAGAACATGGAATTGTACAATATCTGATATTCTATGGAACATTTGTTTGTTGGACAATAACAAAAACAAAACAGAAAGGAACATTCACACAGGCCATAATAAGACTATAATAATAATTAAAATGATTCTGATTCTTTACTTGCTTTGTAGGTTTTCCTCTGAATGTGTTGTGTCTTCTTCCACACCTGGTCCAGCACTTTTCACATCCAACTCAGTTTTGTAAAGAGAGTGCGGAAAGAATTGCACAGGTACAGACAACATTACAAACTCTAAGCTCTAAGCTTTTTCTGGTCTCTCTCTAGTCTCTTTTGCTAGACTCTCTGGCCTTTCTCTCTGGCCTGTCTCTCTCTAGTCGTTCTCTCTGGTTTCTCTCTGGTCTCTCTCTCTGTCACTAAATTCTAAAAAATTTTCAGTAATGTTATTGTTCTATGGTTTCACATGTAAATTATCTTTTGTTCCCAGGTGTGTTTAGGTGAAAAGCAGACTAAATTGTCGCATTTAGCTCACGTCATGACCTTGTACAAAACTCGCTCTTACACACGAGATCCTTTCTCGTGGGTCAGTGTGGTTTGTCGTTACCTCCACGAAGCCTTTTCGGACATAACTCTGAGCATGGTCACGTATATGGCTGAGGTGAGCATCTAAAGCACCGTTTCCACCAGCCCCACTTGGCCCTGCTCTGCTCTACTCTACTCTACCTGGTTGTGTTTCCATTATGCTTTAGTATCTGGTAGCGTTAACTAGAAACCTACCCCCAACAAACCAGAGCCCTGAGAGAGAGAGCGGCGAGAAAGAACAGACAGAGAGAGCAGAAAGAGCATAGAGGAAGACCAGATAGAGAGAGGCCAGAAACAGTAACCAGAGAAAGAGACCAGAGAGAGACGGAGGAGAAAAAACAGAGAGAGAGAGGCCAGAGAGAGAAAACGTAGAGCGAGACCAGAGAGAGGGACCAGAGAGGCCAGAGAGAGACCAGAGAGAGAGACCAGAGAGAGAAAACAGAGAGAGAGGCCAAAGCGAGACCAGAGAGAGAGGCCAGAGAGAGACCAGAGAGAGACCAGAGAGAGAAAACAGAGAGGCCAGAGAGAGTGACCAGAGACAGACGGGAGAGAGAGAAAGAAAATATAGAGAGATAACAGAGAGAGAGGTTAGAGAAAGACCAGAGAGAGACCAGCAGCACTCTGGCCAATCTCTGTCAGTTAGAGAACTTTAGTACCAGCTCGGCCTGGAGAGTAGAGTAGAGAAGAGGCCAAGCAGGGCTGGTCAATAAGGGGCTTAAATATATTCCAAACTTAATTTATTGCTAAAACATTGGGTCTCTAATATGTGTTTTTTCCTTCAGCTGCTGGACAAAGGCCTTCCCAGCATGCAGCAGTCTCTCTTACAGATCATTTACTGCCTCCTGAGTCACATGGACCTGACAGCGATACAAGTCAAACAGTTTAACGCAGACGTAATGAAGACTATTGAGAAGTTTGTTCAGGTATCACACTTTTTACCAGACAATAAACGTATTTTTCAGTTATATATTAGAATATTTCAAATTTCAACAATAGTCATCTGGACAAAGTTTAGAGATTTTTTGGACTCCCATCTTGCATTGGCCTCCTCTTTTGTTCTTGAACCTACCTGTAAAAACACATTGTAAACTGCTCAAATAAACTACTACTACTACTACTTATGTTTTCCTGTGTTGTCACCCCACAGACGGTACATTGGAAAGACGCCTTGAACATCTTGAAGCTGGTGGTGTCTCGCTCGGCCAGTCTGGTCCATCCCGTTTACAGGCACTCGGACGGAGACCTCTCAAACCTGGAAGTGAGCCGCGTGTGGGACGGCTCGGCTAAAGCGCTCCCCGGGAAAACACTGGACTTTACCTTCGACATTTCAGAGGTGAGAAGCAAAATATATTTACCTCTATTATCTGTACACAAACCCTGAAGACTATTTACAGAGATGTTTTTAATGGAGAGGAATAAGAATATGTTTTTCAGTAGGTACATTTTCAGATGAAAGGAAAGGAATAGTGAATGTATACAGTATACTTTCTGGACAAGAAGGCACACCTGTATATAAGCTGCACCAACCAATTTTTAAAGAAAATCTATTTTGTCCCCATATAAGCCGTACTTTTCATGTTGAAATGTTGCTGAAAGACGACTGTTTTAACTGGACACACTGATTTAATGACGAGGTGTTCAACAGCTTCATTGTTGGCTTCCATCAGTCGTTCACCTTCATTTGTTTTGACAATATACGTTATAATAAGTGTCCAATAGCTACTTAAACTTGATAATAATAAATATCAAGTCCATAAACTCTGCTCTGACAACTCTCCCACAATAAAAAATACACATATTAGCTGCATCGCTATATAAGCTGCAGGGTTAAAAGAACTAGAAAAAAGTAGCCGCTTATGGTCCGGAAATTGCGGTACTGAACCATAATGTAGTGAAACGCACTGATGACATAAAACACATGAATTTTCTCCTGCAGACTCCTGTGATCGGTCGGCGCTTCGATGAGCTGCAGGGTTCCGGAGGCCGAGGGGGCAAAGCCAGAGCTATGGCCGTGACGCGCAGCACCTCCTCCACATCGTCCGGATCCAACTCCAACACCATCCTGGTCCCTGTGAGCTGGAGACGCCCCCAGTCCTCACAGGTACAACCCCTCCATGGGACTCCTCTAATGGGGCTATATCTCTGCAGCAGTCTGGCCTGGACCCAAAATGCAGGAAGGCCAAATGTATATGATTTAATAAGGGAATAAATCAATCTGCAGGAGGGGCTAGGGGCTGTTGTTAGAGGACTGAGGGAAGAGCAATGGCGCGTGTTAAAATGAGGATACAAATAACTGTGTGAATAGTCTAAAAACAGCTGTATGTGTACATTTTTAGGTTATGTCCTGGTAAGTATTTGCTTCTCTCTTCTCTGTGTGAGCTTTCGCGAGACCCACTGAGGCACATTTCTGTTTCTCTCCTCACTTATCTCTCATTGTTGAGTGAAACATAAGGGCGGATATACAAATGAGAAATACTGTACACAAGAGCTAGAGGTATCCAATCAACAGGGCAACAGGACAGGAAGTAAAACTAAATCACAAGAGGACTCATGTCAAAAATGAAATCCATTCCCATATAAATAACCTGCTCCATGGCAGAGGCGCAGAAGCGAGTGGAGAGACCGTAGCGTCCCGATCCAGGCTGTCAGAGCTGCCACTGCTGCTGTAGCGAGAGGGAAGAGAATTGATGCTTTAAGACCATGGGATGAAAGACTTTAGAGAGAGAGAGAACTTTTCGACATATCTACTTGTTATGATTTCAGGAACTAAGGAGAAAGGAATGCAAATGAGGACAGAACTGGGTTAGGGAAAAAAAGGATTCTGTCTGGTAGTGTTGGTAGTGTGATGAGAGACCACTGGGATTACTTATAAACCAGGAGTACTCAATACGTCAATCGCGATTTGGCGCTGGAGGGTGGAGTTTGAATGAGGTTTCTGATCAACGTGAGTTTGACAGAGCTTTTCCGAGAGTCACATATTGTACTACTACTACACACATGCACACATAAGGCACGGTGTCATTCCCTCCTGGTGTGTGTTTCTGTCTCTCTGCCGTCTTTCCCTGCGCTGTAGAAGACATGGGAGGACTGTGGAGTGAGCGCCAACAACACGTTTACATTTTTTAAAAAGCGCATTTGTATGGACTAGCGCTTAGACACACAGAGACAGACAGACAGAAGACACATACACACAGATAGAAACTTAAGACACACACAGACATACAGACACACATGCACAGACAGAAACACGGATAGACAGACTTGGACACACACAAACAGACGGAGACACACGGACACACACACACAGACAGACGGACATACTGTAAACTTAGTCACACACACACAGACAGATGGACAGAAACTTAGTCACACACACACACAAAGAGACAGACAGAAACATAGACACACACACACAGACAGACAGACAGAGAGAGACAGACAGAAACCTAGTCTCACACACACACACACAAAGAGACAGACAGAATCATAGACACACACACACAGACAGACTCACATACTGTAAATACTCACTCTCACATTCACACTTGGACACACATACTTAATTGATTTGGTTTTACAGTGACTCTTGTTTCCTGTACTTTTTTAGCCTGTTTTATTTACGTACTCATCTGATCCACACTTTTACACATGTGTTCCAACGTGGTTTTAAGGCTAATGTTGTCTCTGTCTCCCTAGAAACGAACACGGGAGAAACTAGTGAACGTCTTGTCTCTCTGCGGACAGGAAGTGGGGCTGACCAAGAACCCGTCTGTAAGCATCTCTCTACCATTGTCTCTATTTACAAGACATTTATGAGGGTATTACCGCATCTTCACTGGGGCTGTCTGGTCCGTGCAGGTGATCTTCTCGTCCTGCGGAGACCTGGACATGATGGAGATGAGGGAGAGCGGCGTGTCCTCAGAGGAGGGAGGGACGCGGGAGGACACTCTGGACGACACGGCCAGCGAGCAGCAGTTCCGGGTCTTCAGGGACTTCGACTTCCTGGACGTGGAGCTGGAAGACGGCGAGGTAAGAGCCGCGTTCTCATTTATTCTGACCTTTGCTGCTGTTCAAAAGTCAGAGGTTATGCAGCCGATAGAGTTTATACATTTGTGCTTGGATTTACATCTTGTGGCTCCAAACAAGTTTTTGATCTTTCTTCGTTATCGGGAATCACTCTGGGGAATTTGAATGGGGATAAACTCCGCCCACTTCAGAATCAGAATTGTTTTTTTGCCATTATAAGTAACAGGAAGTCACAAACTAAGAAATAGCTTTGGCTCAAGATGCAAATAAGATATAAAAATAAAAATAAAAAAATAAAAAAATCTACATAATATTTCTTGAAATTGCCACATACAAGGCTACTATACTGTATATTTTCAGCTCTAGTCTCAATAATAATAGATACTTAAGTCATGAATGGCAAAGAATAAGTGACCCCAAACTTTTAAACAGCAGCAAATTAAACATCCGCTTTAACTTACTCTGTCCTATTTTTACGTGCTGTTATTTGCAAGTGGTTCCCATGTGGATCATAGGAGAGTTTGACTTGATATTAAAAACCCCAAATATGTATTTTCATGCGATAACAATGATAACATAGATGCTATATTTACTGTATAGTACCTTGAATGTTTTGTTTTGTCACAATGGATGAAATCTAACCCTAAATTACCAGTTTCCACCGTACATAAAAAGACCTCAGCTGTCCCTGTGGTCCATCTAAAAATAGTTTTTTCCCTGAATATTTAGACAGTTTGCCTTTTAAACTTCCCTTTTACATTGGAAACAAGCATGTGACTTCACTTGGCCAAGTTACAAGTCATATCTGTGGAGAGGCGAGTCTTCTCACTGTACAAATCAGTTTTTTCCTGATTGGATGTAATAAGTTCAAATCCTTGCGAGACAACCGATGCTGCGGTCCTTATTGGTTGAACTATTCTCCAGCAAATCTTACTGGCGAGTCATTTTCCAATGGGACGCACTGTTTAAAATGTATTTATTATATTATTATAAATACTTGATGATATAGATTATACTACAAGGGCGTATGGTCAAAAATATCTATTATTTTCTAAATGAAATACAATTGAAGTTGCAGACATCACCTTTAACCCAAACTGTGCCATATTCCAAGGAAAGCATCAACATAACCATGATCATAAGTAGTGGACGATTAGGACAGCTGGGGACTACACTTTTTTATATACACAAAAAAACATTATTAGACATCTATTTGTTTGATTTTAGCTCATTTCTCGTCCTGTCTTTCTACACCTGCTGCTGTTGTGTTGCTGCTATTGTGTTGCTGCTGTTGTGTAACCCTGTGTCTCTCTCTCTCCCCTCGTCGCCTCAGGAGCTGCAGGTAAGGCCCCTCACACTGACCACACCCATCCGCTCTGTGGTGCTATGGCTTCTACTTTAATGGATTTATTTTTATTATTCATTCAGTTATAGACACTTTGATTATTTTTCTTTGGGACGCTGTTTCGCTTTTGTGGCTTGGGTTCAAACGTTTCTATGAATATTGCTGACAAAGAGCCTTTTCTGTGTATATTTTGATATATATTTTTAGCATATTTCCATGGCTTCAATAATGTATGTGCATTTTGTGCTTGTATAGCAACCATTTATCATCAAAACAGGGCATCCCCAAGGTCTAGTAAAAGGTTTAGCTTAAATATATTTTATAAAGTTATCATTCATCAACTCCAACAAAACACAATTTATTAAATACTTTGCTTTTACTTTACACTTTTAGGCAAGGAAAGTCTATGTCTACAGCACAACTGATACAAGGACATTACAATTGTAGACAGATAAAAACATAAATACTTATTCAAGAGAGCAGATACATGTTTTTTTAACCATGGCTTGAGTAGACGCCAAAAATTATTTTTTGCTACAAAATATTTCACTTTAATCCGTTCAATCTGGCGTCCACCTGGTTCTGATTATGAGGACATTTGAATATATGGGAAACAACACAAAACACACTTGTGGACCGACCTTATGTTGGGACCTTAAAAACATCATAGAAAAAAATCATAGAAAATTCTCAACTCTCTGACCCTACACCTCTCTTCCACTGCTTGCCCTGAATCTTATCAATCAATTAGGGTGCTAGCTTCCACTCTGCAGCACCTCGGGCCACATAAGACTTGAAAATGCTAGCTTTGTGTTAGCATAAGCTATATCCAGCCCTGGAGGTGCCCTGTCAGACCAGTTTCACACCAGTCTCACACCAGTCCGTGTCTTTGGTCTTCCCCGTGGTCTGTCAATTGTGTGCTTTCTCCGCAGGGCGAGAGTTTGGATAACTTCAACTGGGGCGTGCGGCGGCGGTCTCTGGACAGCACCGAGCTCGGGGACCTGCTAGAGGAGAGCCAGCACTCAGGGAGCACCCCGAGTCTGGGCCACGAGGACCCCCACGACACCGACGAGTCCTCCGAGGAAGAGGAGTCGTCCACCAGCCAGAGCCTCTCCCACTCGCAAATCGTGAGTGCTGTCAAGAAGAAATATCACCTCAATTCCAAAACGTTATTGTTCCTAAGGGGAAACTTGTTTGTGGAACAGTCAAATAAATACTATGACAATACGATACAATAATTATTCATTATCTTTGGCCTTTATACACTGATAATGAGGCTATTTACTTTGTCATTTCATGTTTTTGAATGTGAAATAATATAGAAAATAAATGGTGAAGCAACTATGAAGGGTAAATTAAAACCTTTTCTGCCTGTAACTCCCTTTGCTACCACCAGAGGGAGGAGTTGGATTTGTTTTTTTGTTTCTTTATTTTTGTAAAGCCCTAAATCACAACAGCAGTCGTCACAGAGGACAGTACAGTTGTCGGTTTGCCAACAGCAGACCAGAGAATTCAGAACAGTTTGAACAAGGAAATAAAATAAAAACAATCGCATAGGAGCCGATGGGCCTAGAGCGAGTGAGCAATTTTGAAAATATTGATAGACATGTGAAACCTGTAACCTGTGAAATTATTACCAAAACTAATTTAAACGTCCATGTTTATTATGTTTCTATAATAAAAGAAATAGAAATTTAAAAAAAAATTGAGATTATTGATGCCATGTCCTCGGAGGGGACCAAACGGCTGAAAACTGTTTGAGACGTGGGAAAGAGTGTTTTAGTAAATATGAGAAAGAATAAGGTTTGTGCTAATGTTGTTTTTCTTTCAGACGAATCCATCTCCATCTGAAGAGACCAACCAGACAGACTCTCTGTCCACGTCCTACGACACGTCCGCTGACCCTCCGTCTTTCACCGCCACGACACCAGGACAAGGAGGATTGCACGACCTCCACAGTCTCCATGTAAGAGATGTACTCAGTTCCAGACCAGAGAGAGACCAGAGAGAGACCAGAGAGAGACCAGAGAGAGACCAGAGAGAGACCAGAGAGAGACCAGAGAGAGACCAGAGAGAGACCAGAGAGAGGCCAGAGAGAGGCCAGAGAGAGGCCAGAGAGAGACCAGAGAGAGACCAGAGAGAGGCCAGAGAGAGGCCAGAGAGAGACCAGAGAGAGACCAGAGAGAGGCCAGAGAGAGGCCAGAGAGAGACTAGAGAGAGACTAGAGAGAGACTAGAGAGAGACTAGAGAGAGACTAGAGAGAGACTAGAGAGAGAGACTAGAGAGAGACCTGAGCGACTGTGTGATTAGTTTGACAGTGACAATTGTTTCCTGTACTTTTTAGCTTGTTTTATTACTATTATGGTCTTGTCTGGGGACTTTGGCACATATATTCCAATGGGGTTTTATTGCAAATGGCAAATAATCTGAATGTCTCTGGTTTGTTCAGGGCCGGGGCTGTGAGGACGAGGACACGCAGGCTCAGGATGACGAGCTCTCCCTCAGTGCTCATGACGTTCCTCAAGGCTCAGACTGTGGAGAGAGCTTCACGCTGGAAATGCCGGGTCAGGCCCCAGACCCGCTCCCTCGACTGGGACAGCGGTTCAACAGGGACTACTGCCAACCGCCGCTGGACTTTCTAGACCCCAACTGTCTCCCCAGGTCTGTCCACAACCACAGTTTTACTCTTCATGTGAGGAAAGAGCTGGGAGGGACAACAAAGACACATATTTGGGAACATAAAGAAAATGCTACATTACAAGCAATTAAGCTACGGGCTAAAGAGGGACATCCTTTCTAACCTTATTTTATGACATCAAAAAACAAGATGTAAATGTAAGATGCATTATAAAAAAATGTAATATCATTATTATTATTATTATTATTATTATTACTTAAAGCATTTTGGTTTTTTTTAGATCATATTTTGTATCTGGCGCCCTCTAATGTCTTATTGCAAAATTTCTTTGGATTTTGCTGGGCTAATACACTTTCAACTTAAACAAAAAATCAGTTTTACTCAAATTATGTGTGAGGATAACTCTGGTTTTAGGACTACGTTAACATGGTTGTGATTTAACCCAAAGAATGGAAACCACAATTGTTATTATTATTATTATTTGAACAGTTGGATGCTACATAACCAGGCATCCTTATAGATAAACAAAGAGTATTATTGGCCTATGTTTCACGATACAAAAGAATAGAGCACTAACAAATGTAATTCATTTCTTTCAGTGCAATCTTACTACAGTTTGTCAAATATGTTGTTATTTTCTAATACTTTTTAAAGCAAGATTCTCTTCTCTTGTTTGTATTCAAACAAAATTGACCAAAATCTGATCAAATTTAACCTAATTCTGGAATTGTATTGCCTTTTTTACAGTGTGTATTGCATTGTTGAGAATTCAAAACACAAAAGCTGGAGTACCCAACTTGAAAACCTCAAAAACAAGAACTATGTGATTTCGTATCAAAATAATGTCTTGCAGTTTACTTAAAATGATGGGTTTTGTGCGGGACATGGGACACGGGGCACAAACAAGGGCGTGTGGTGACCCTCTGCTTGCGTCTCTGCAGTCTCCGTGACGACGTGGACGACCTGGAGGACCTGGGCTTCCCTCCTCCGCCCTCGCCGTTCTTCTCGGCCATCCTGGCGGCGTTCCAGCCCACGGTCTGCGATGACGCGGAGGAGGCCTGGCGCTGCCACATCAACCAGCTGGTCACCGACTCGGACGGATCCTGCGCCGTCTACACCTTTCAAGTCTTCTCTTCTCTGTTCAAGGTTCGAGACAAAAACCCTCCAAACACAAGGGATTAGAGCTGGGATACCTAGTTTTCAAACCACAAAATATCAACTCCCTTTTCTTCCAAGTTCCAAATCCAGCAGACGTGTCATAGTCAAAACATACATATATATTGTTTGTAGTCTCTGCCGCCCTCTATTGGTAAATTGTGTGTATTTTTGCATCATTGAGACAAAATTCTGTAGTTAAAGTTGGGGTACCTAGCTTTCAAACCACATAAAAATACCTCTCTATAGATCTAACTAATTCTGAGCTCTCAAAAACCGTTTCGTTCTAGAATTAGATTTTACATTCATGTATTTTCTGACCTCTATCACATATTTTAGCTTTTCCAGACAGAAAAGTGAAAAAGAGAGGACCAGCCTCATTCGGCCAATGAGCTCTGAGTGCAAAGTGTCCAATAGTGACTTTGTTGTTGTCTTTGTCATGTCATGTCATGTCATTTTCTATCCCTTTATAATTCCATTTCTGTGTCGGGGGGTGACAATCAGAGCTGCCACCCAAGTCTCAAAGCACCAGTCCCTCGCGTATCCTCCTGCAGTTGGTGGGTCCACAGGAAGATGGCTTCTATGTCATTGATGAGATGGCCTTGATCTTTCAGCAGGGGCTTCAGACAATGTGGGGTTAAGTGTCTTGCCCAGCAGACATCAGTGGGAGCAGGTGACATGGGTCGTGGTGGGCTCGAACCCATGACCATTAGGTCAGTTGGTAGACCAGTGCTCTACCAACTGAGCTACTGTCGCCCCAGAATAAAATTGCCCCCTTGATCACAGAATAAAATCTCTATTGGGACAAAACTAAATATTGTGTTATTATTTATGACACAAAAAGTTAGGCACCCCAGCTTTAAGAAGAAGAGCCTTATCAATTATCTATTAATACGGTTTGTAAAATTCCACACATGTTTCTGCCCATTTTAGGATTTTGAGATCGGTCTGTGTGTGATAAAGTCATCAGCAGAACACAGCACTCGAATCCAAATGCCATGCTAGAAAATGTTTATGTCCATAGAATCTTGCAGCTGATTGACCTCCTTCATATACTGTAGTTACACACTGTTGCTTAAAATTACTTGTTTTTCCAGAACATTCAGGGGAAGTTCTGCACCTTGACGACAGACGTGGCAACGTATCTGGGAGAAGGTCTCAGAGGAATCGGCTCAAAGTTCCTCCGATCGTCACAGATGTTGACCACCTGCTCCGACTGCCCCACCATCTACATCGACGCCGACACCGTGAGTAACAGCCCCCTCATATACACACATACACACACACACACATATACATACACACACACACATACATATACATACATATACACACATTGTCACACATACACGCACATGCTAGCCAGGCCTCAGCTATCCGTAAACTCGGGTCCATGAGTTTCTTCGGTTGAATCCCCTCCGACCAATCAGAGAGCGGGGGAGGCGGGTGTTGTAGGTCGATGTCGGTGACTTCAAGAGTTTGCGCCAAATTTGCTGGTTGTAGTTTGACAATGGCGGAAAATATGATAGTAAAGTATTCTGTTCTGGTTCGGCTCCAAATATCAAGAAATTGAAGCCGGAGCAAGAGGAATGTTTAGTAAATGTCATTGCTGCAAAGATGTTGTGGCTCTACTCCCCACGGGCTCCTTTAGCGGCAAAGGAGATGGCTAAAGCTAGGCTGAATGCTAGGCTAAATGCTAAATGCCTCACTCACTTGGGTGCATTACAGATGTCACGCTAAACTCAGATCCAATCATTTCAATCTGCAAAAGGAGTTAACCCCTTCCACCTGTTAACGGAGCTCTATGGAGCAAATCCAGACCTTAATACAAAATGAAATTAGTACAATGGTATGATAAGACCAGGCTACACACTTACACAAACACACGCACACACATCTCGCACATATAAAACCACTAACAATCCGTTATTCTCTCTTTAGATCATGTCGTACGGTCTCCTGGAGAAGATAAAGTTCAGTGCCCTGGAGCTGCAGGAATATCTGGACACGTACAACTCTAAAGAAGACTGCGCCGTTTCGGTAACTTGTTTTTGTTTTTTTGTTTTTGTTGTTTATTTATTGAGCGATACAGAACTCTTTCCATGTGGTTTTACTACAAATGGAAAGTAGACTGAATTTGAATCTAATATTGATTTGTATTTATTTCAAACTTGTGTATTGTCACACTGCTCTCACTCAGAATACACACAGACAAGACACAGGCCCAACACTCTCTGACCCTACACTTCTGTTATTCAATTATTATAGACTTACTCATGAAAGAGGGTGTTTGTTTGTTTGTTTGTTTGTTTTGTTTTGTTTTTTTTACATGGAATCAGCTTTTCTTACTGTAGTTTATTTTATTTTTTTATTTTAGTAAAGGCTATTAATTTGTTTTCAGGTTGTGGGATATTTTTTTGTCATTTTTTTTTCTTTTTTATTTTAAATCTCTCTATTGGCCATTTTCAGAATTATTCAAAACAAAGTCACTGAGGGCATCAAAAGTATGTAACATATTTGCATTGACATGAAAAAAGTAGAATAAAATAAATATAAGTAAACTATATATATGTCCATGTATAAAGAGGATACCCTAAGACAAAAAAACACAAAAAGTATTACTAAAGAAAAAAACTAATAAAAGTACGTCCGCATCCACATACGAGGGGGGGGGGGTACTTTGTGTTTATTTTGTGATATATTTTGATATTGAGTTTTATGGGAGTTTTTCTCATCATTCAATCCTAAAAATTGAGATTTGAATCATTCTGAATATACAATCATGAGGCAGAAGCCTTTTTGTTTTCAAAATGCTTAATTATTGTGTTTTTATTCTCAGTGGTTGAGAAACTGCAGAGACACATTTCCCAGGTGCCCCGGCGACAGCGTGGTCACATGTCAGCCTGGAGACTCTGAAGAGAAGGTACGAAAACAGACAAATTAATACAAAAACTACCTGAAGTGAATATTTTTGATATTAACAAGTGTGTAAAGACTTTCAGAACTTCCTCCTAATTTATTAGTTTATTTAATTTATTATTTGCCCAAAAAGACACATTATAGAAGACATATTATACGTATATTTTTGGAGATTTTAACTACACAACATTGCTTCCTTATTGAAAGAAATCCTTGATGTCCTGTTAGCTCCGCCCCCTCTAATATTCAGAATTTCTGGTACACACTCAACCACCCACCCCTTCAATCTGAAAGATCTCACTTCAAACTTGTTACGCATTGAAAATCCTTGCAGCGTTAAGATCATAGACTGTTAATGTAAGTCTATATGTGTCTAATCCTTAATATACACAATTTAGTTCTTGTTTTTCTTACTGTAAAATGTATGAGATCTTTGAAAACATGTGACCTATGATCTAATGTTGATAATGACCAAAATACAGTCAAGAAATACACTACTACTACTACTGTTTTTCTTTTTTTATCCTAGCTACAAGTTGCAGAAGTAGTAATGAAGTAGGAAGAAATTAGGAGAGCACAAGATAAGACTGATATTTAGTTTGTATAAAGTATTACCACAAATCTAAAAAATGAATGTAGCTGGGTTCCAGACCTAAACAAGATTTAAGTGATCAGTAAAATCAATTCTAAACCGCACAGGGAGCCAGCGCAGGGACTCTAACACAGGGGTGATGTGCTCCCTTCTGTTAAAACCAGTGAGAAGAAATCTACAATTCCATACAACCAAGTCCTTCAAATCCCACATAATTCTTCAAAACCTTATATTGGGGCCGTTTTTGACATTTTTATCAACACCTTTAATACCTTTAAATGATTTTACAATGTTTGCATGCCGTTGAAAATTTGCTGTGTTTCTTGTAAAAAACTACTGATTGTTTTTGTTGTCAATAACTGGGTTTAGACTCATTTCTTGGCTTGACGTTTGCATGTGTTTGATTGATGCTGTGTCTTCACTCTTCACGCCCCTAACACACGCTAGCAAATGGAATCTCTGGCCGTAAGTCTTTTCTACTAAATTCTCTCTATGTTAAACTACTACAAAACAAGTTCCAGTCTTGTTTTGCTACTTTTTTTGCATGTCGTGTGCTTAAATCTGATAGCGTCACCGATTTATGTAGATGTGTTTGTTGTTTAGCCGCATGGGAATAACAGAAATGTCTCTTGTTTTTAGCAACTGGAGCTTTGTCAAAGACTTTACAAGCTGCATTTCCAGTTACTGCTGCTGTTTCAGTCCTACTGCTCGCTCATCGGTCAAGTCCACGCCATCAGCACCGTGCCCGAGGTCAGTTTGAGGATTATGTGGCTAATAACATGAACTATGGAAACAAATCACTGCAATTCCTATAGAAATGTTTGTGTTCAGGAAATTCCAGGGCTGCAATAAATGTCTTCACACAAACACTAACAATGAGGGAAAAAAGTGTTAGGTTATGATTCAAAATAATGACATCTCTGGCTGGATGTGTAAACTTTTAAGCAGTAGTTTTGTTGTGATTTTAAAGTGGTTTTCTCTATGATTATTTGTTTCCTCTTTCTGTGACACTTTCACACTTTTTTTTTTTTGATGATGCAGAAGGGTCCAAGGACAGCGGTGATGATCCAGGACACTCCACATTCAACCACATTTATGGACTTTATCAACATTTATGGACATTTCTTGTGTTTGAACAAAGCCTCTGATCTGTGTTGAATTTGACGATATTGTGAAGTCCTCTGGGATAACTGCTGTGGATATTTAGAGCTACACGAGAATAAATCGAATCAAATTGAGCTTTTGCTGTTCCTGCTTCTCTCGCAGCTGTTGAACATGTCCCGGGAGCTGACGGAGCTGAGGGGAAGCCTGCAGGCGGCGGAGGCGGCTGTGGCCAGCGACCTGGAGCACAAACTGCAGGCTCACGGCACCGCGGCAGCAGCAACGGTCGTGCCCAACTTCCCCACGTCAGAGGCCGCGGTGCAGGCCATCCTTGAGTGCCTTAAGAACCACGAGTTTACCAAAGCCGTCCGCTACATTCAGGAGTGCAGGTAAACAGGCAGGATGATGTCACGCCGGATCCAATACAAAGTAGTGTAAATGTTTTATATTAGAATCACATCGAAACGTCTAACGCCTAGTCTAACGTGACGTCACTTGCGCAACGCGTTGGTCACCACAAGGCCCTTACGTTGCCTGCTCCGCTGTGATTGGTCCGTGTGTGTGTTTTGGGCGGAAGCATGAAGCGGCTGCCGCAGGGACAATGGACGAGGCAGTATGGAACAGAGAGCTTTGTGCTTCAAAGGAAACGAAGGAAAAGCAGTTTGGGCTCAGAGCCTGATATACAGGAGACTGTGGACTATCTAACATATATATAACTTATAAACTGTGCAGTCGTTTGTTTTGCACTGTTCCTGTCTTTGTTTGAATCGTAGCTTATCGCGTTTGTTGCTTTCCTCCTGCACTTTTAAATTGTTCATGTTTGCCTCAGATATTTACCACTTATTGTTTTGCTGTTTGTGCTGAATACAATTTAATAATAACTATGTTTCCAACCAGAACGGTGTCTTTATTCACAACATCACAGTTGAAATGAGTTAAGAAATAAAGAGTCCATAGAACTATCACATAAACCTACAGTACAAACACATGTAATGATCTCAAACAGCTCGGTTTGTTCATGTTTTTGTTCTGAAGAGGAGAAAGAAGCAGCGTAAATGAGACCGCTTTTGTTTCTCATGCAACTCCTGTGAGATTGCCATCATGTGGTTGGTTGTAGAATTACAACATTCTCCTCAAAACTCCGCAAGGAGTATAAACACAAATGTGCGTGCGTAGGTCCTCCGCAACCGCTAACGTAAGCAACGCCGCGCAAGTATACACTAGGCTTAAGAAAGCATCGCACTCTCAAACAGCAGGTGTCAGTTATTTATTATTTTGACCAGGGGTGTCCAAACTCTTTAAAAGTTGACAACGCAGATTGTAAAAACTGTTTTGAATCATCTTCATAATTGGCTATGACAGAGCTGAAGTTGGATGAATGACAAATGACCTACTCAAAACAATAGCACCATTAACAGAGTGACACAATTCAAAAACAGGTTCTAAGCTTTACAATGATACATATGCCTATAACATGCCTCTATTGACGAAGCTGAAGTTGGCTGTATGACACTGTGAACTTGTGTTTGTGATTCAGAAGGCCATAAGAATCTACATAGAGGTTTAGACGTTTCAGCCACAATGCCTCAAATGATTGTTCCTTTCAGGTCATAGGTGGCAATCAGAGATGCCACCCAAGTCTCATAGCACCAGCCCCTCACTGACCCTCTGCAGGTGGTGAGTCCACAGGAGGACGGCTGCTCTCTGAGTGTGAGCATAGCCTTGATCTTTCAGTGGGGGCTTTTTGGGCAAAGTGGGGTTAAGTGTCTTGCCCAAGGACACAACGACAGCAGTCATCGGTGGGAGTCGGTGGAGAAGGTGTCAAGGTGGGAATTGAACCCACAACCTTCAGGCCTGAAGGCCAATGCCCCACCAACTGAGCTACTGTCGCCCCCATGATACTTCTTCATTTATATTATTATATATTATTTGGAAAGCAAGAATGCACAACTTTTTGGAGGTGGCATATTGTTTGTCTCAACAGAAAAAGTCTTGTTAAAGTAACATGTGAACAATTAGTCCACAACATGAAGCTTGATGCTTTTGGGTTGAGAGCTGATTGGCTGATCTAAGGATGTGACAGGGGTATAATGACATGCATGTACAAACTTGTGATGGAACCTGTTTTCAGAGCCAGGAACTAGCTAAAGATTGTATTATCTAGTTCCATTACATCAGCTTTACATCAGTTTTCATTTTATCATTCCAATTTGTAACTTTCCATTCAAAGACTTATACAGCAAGATGCACAATGCAACTATAATGACCTCACATCAATAGTCACAAACCTAAACCTTCTTCCTGGTGTTTTGCAGGAGGCAGTGGCCGAACGGTGTGTTCGGGGGAAGCTCCGAGAGCGAGGTGCAGACGCTCCTGAACGTCTACTTCCGGCACCAGACCCTGGGCCAGACCGGGACCATCGCTCTGGTGGGCTCTCGTCAGGACCTCAGCCTCATCTGCTCCAAGCTGCTGGAGCTGAACGGGGAGATCCGCGACATGATCCGCCGCGCCCAGGGGTACCGTGTGGTCACAACCTACCTCCCCGATTCCAGTGCCTCGGCGACCAGCCTCTGACAGGAGCTCAGGAGCCCCTCCACCCCCCCGGACCCGCCCTTAGCCATTTCACCGCATCACAGGACGCTGCCGCCTCCTTCCTCCCTCTCAGAGCCGCCTTTTGCTCCGCTCGCTCTTACAGGAGGGTCCCCACATCCGAACACGTGGCCTCTCCCTCCCCCCACCGGCCTCCTCTCCCGTCTCCAGAACCACACAGCGTCACGACCGCCTCCAAACGATCGCTTCTAACCTCGCACCTGTCCTTCTCCTCCTCCTCGTCCTGGTCTGACGCTCCCACTCTCAACTTCCCCCCGAATCTGTTCGCAAACCCGGCCGTGCGAGACGAGATTTACTTCACGTTGCCGCGAGAAATGGGCAAAAACCGTCCGGGAAAGCGGCAGGAGCGGAGAGGGCAGTCCCCGCTCGGCTCTGGATTCAAACCTCCGTTGCCGTCTTTACCCACGGTCGCTTCAGAGCCGACCCTCATCGCGAGCTCAGGTGGCCACTCTCCGATGCAGGGATCTCATCTGCCGCACTTTCCTCACTCCCCGTACGGTCTCGTCTCCGCTCCACACGATGAGGTTTTGACTCGTCCTCCTCGACCGTCCTCCATCCCGCCATCACTGCCCCCTCCTCCCCCTGGTCCCAGCTCCTCCGCAGGCGACCTCAGCACCTCCGCCTGGGGCTGCTGCTGCTCGTCTCTCGGTGACGCGCCCTCACCCATGTCCCGTTACCTCGAGAAAGTCGGTAACACCGCTTTGCCTCTTCTGAAAGGTGGGCTCCTCAAAATGAAACCATCAGACGTACAGACATAAAAAACAAACCCTGAATTTAGACGTTTAACTTGAAATACGACGTGTGACTTTTGCGTTAATGTGTCTACGGATACGAGAAAGAATTAATATATGCGCTTAAATTATGACCAGAACATTGTACAGCTATTACCTGTCAACACTGAGCAACTTTATGCACAAGAAATGGCTTTTTTTGTCTGAGGAGAATAAACAATTTTACTACGAGGATTGAAAGAAGAAAAAACAATTTATGGTAAAGACACTACCCGTGAAGACTGGTAGAGCTCTGAGATTGCACTAAAATGGTCTTTTGCTAAATGAATTATTGTTAAAAAAAAAGTGAATTTGATACTGTTTTTGTTTGTCTATGTGAGAGAGAGAAGCCAAAAAAAAGCTGGAAGTTTGTCGTCTCACCCACTGCTGATTGAATAGGACCTTGATTTTTGGAGGAACTTGTGCAATCCCAACCAAACACTGTCTACTGTATGAGATCTGCTCTTGGTATAAACTCCAGACTTGACTGAAAAACGAGAAAGAACGGCGCAATTTCTAAATGTTTGTACTATATCCTGTAGTAAACCAGCCGTCTTCAACTACTGTAACGAATTCTGTTTCTGTGTGGTCCTCTGCTGTAGCATCCTCATTAATATCACTGTACATTTCTCACCTGTTTCCTCTGTCATGTAGCATATATATCTGTGTGTGTGTGCGTGTGTGTGTGCGTGTGCGTGGCCAGATACTTGTGGTGCGTCGATCCACAGGACGGGAACGCTGATATTCAGCACTTTGTTCAGAACAGACCTACTGAAGCGCTACATCCACCCACACTGCAAAGAATGACACAGAACAAGTCAATAACTGCTCACATTTGGAAAAAATTGTCTTCATTTGAGCACATTCTGACTTTAAATAAGTCACCTCACTAATTAAGTGCTAATATGTGTATGCTAGCCCTAACCCTAGCCCTCTCAAATCTCTTGCTGGTCTTTATGGTCTTTATGGTCTCTTGCTGGTCTCACTCTGGTCCTAGTCCTAATGGTCCTAACCCACAGGGGAACGTGTCAGTTAGTGCTTGATAATTACTAATTAACTGTCATTTAATGAGGGCTAAACTAAAGTGTTACCAAATGTCTCACTTGGAAAGAGAAAATAAACGTTTTTGAAATAAGATTAAATGTCTTTGTCCCATTGGAGAATCTTGTTTTAAGTCAGAATGTGCTCAAATTAACACAGAAACCACCAGATTTAAGCAATTATTACCTCATATTTTCCCACTTTTTGCAGTGCACCCTCTGGCAGTTCAAGCTCCTTCAGATGTTTTAACTATTATTTATATCCAAACAGGCACAATTTGTCCTTTTGAGTTTTCTATTGTTGAACTGAGACTGCCACGCATGCATCTTCAGTGTACTGTACGGAGTGTTTGGACTATTTACTAAATAGTTTTCTGAGAGATAAGGTCTGGATGATGGTGTCCTATGGAGCTGTGAGTTGTGTGGGAGAAGTGTGCATGCCAAAATCAGAAATTGCACATTTTTAAAGCTTTTTAGATGAAGACTGTAGTTGTTTTTTCACCCTGTAAATACTTTTACAGCTTTTGTGAAGTTGTTTTGAGTTGATGCTCTGTATACATCTGTGTCCAAGTAAAGACATATCAGAACTACACACGTGGAAGCAGTTTGTTTTTCAGAGTTAAACTTTCATTTAGAGCAGACCTGGGAAAAGTGCGGCCTGGGAGCCACATGCGGCCCAATTCACATTTCTTTGCGGCCCCTGAACCTCACTCCAGACTTTTACTCATGTGACCCTTGTGGTCCCCTTGGCTCAAAATGACCCGCCACAGTAGAAGAAAAATACCAAAACTTGACCAGCCCTGGGTCATTTGGTCAAGTTAGGAAAAATAAATATTCAGCATATTGTGTTTGCTTGTGTAGGAAAGTGGCTCTGAAGTCAAAGTTGATATTTTGTCAATTTGATGCTAGCATAAGGTGAATTAGGAGCCAGCTTTAAGCTAATGTGTGCCAGCATGTTGTTATAAGGAACCCAAAATGTCAAAACCCTAGCCTGGTCGTACCACACCATAGTACAAAGTACATTTCGTACTAAGGTCTGGAGGTGCTCCATTGAGCTCAGTTTACAGGTGGGAGGGGTTAACTCCTTTTGCAGATTGAAACGATTGGATCCGAGTTCACCGTGGCGTATGTAATACGCCCGAGTCTATCGTTAGCAGTTAGCATTTAGCCTAGCCATCTCCTTTTCCGCTAACAGAGCCCGTGGGGAGTAGCGCCACAATCTTGACCAGCGATTACATTTGCTAAACATTCCTATTGCTCCGGCTTCAATTTCTTGATAGAACCAGACCGGATTACTTTAATATCGCAATATTTGGCCATTGCCAAACTACCCGTTCGACGCAAACTCTTGACATCACCCACAACTACAACACCCACCTCCCACGCTCGCTGATTTGTCGGTCGAAATTCAACAGATTGTAATTGCTAACACAGGGACCAGACCCAGACGTTACATGCAGTGAAATGATTGAGCGGAGTGTACGGATGGCTAAGGCCAGACTTTCTAAACCCTGCTCTTAAAGAAATTTCCACAAAAAACTGGTATCTGCAGGTTTGCTCATTAAAGTAGATTATTTTTACATTTTAACCCAGTTATAGGCTTTTCCCAATTCATTACATTTGGGTTAGGGTTACGCTTTACATTATTCAAAACACCACACATTTAGGATGCAGACTTTATTTTTAAGTGAAATTATTTCACATTTTCTTTGATACATGGAGGACGGAGGCTCAACAGCATCTAGTCACAAACTGTTGGATTCAGGTACTCTCTGGTCGGGGAATAATCGAATCGCTGACGTGCATTCGCAGTGCTGACAGTGCTGGCGGCGTGGCGCGTCCTTAGCCTGAGTCCAGTGAGTTTCTTTCAGATTTGGGAGGTTTTTTTAGACTATATATTTGAAGCTGTAGGTGGCGTCGCAGGAGAGCTTCATGCCTCTGCAGCGACAGCACAGGTCCTGGCGATGAGGCTTCTTCACGTTGATGTGTCTCCGTCTCCTCTCGCACGCGCACGAGGTCTGCGCACATCCCTAAAGACGCATCACAGGACACTTTCTATACAGCGATTATGCACAGTCATTATCCATAGTTTACCTTGCAGAGGATGGACTCCACTCTATAAGGGTTGAAGCCCACCTGGCATTTGCGACAGAGCTGCTTGTAATAAACCTGAGGACGACAGAACGTGTTACTGCCAATCAGAAAATCAGATGAATGAGTTCCAACCTTACCTTACTGGTTCCAGAGATGCACCACACATAAGCACTCTCCCATCGGACATTGCACTTTTTACAGTGGAAGAAGCCATATCTCTGCTCCAGAAACTGAAACAAAGACGTTTTTGGTTTAATGGAATCTTAAAATTATCAAATTAGAAATAATTAAGAGCCAAGGTAGCAAATATAAAGTTTGTTATCTCTCCTTGTGTTTAAGGCTTAGAAGGTTCATATATCTGTTCAGACTTAAGGTTCTTTACACTTTTCTCTCAAAGAAACCTTCCAAGACTTGTTTAAAGTAGCAACATTCTTACATGAGATTCTAAATCCACGTCGCCATCTAAACCTGTCACAAATATGAGTAGTCCCAAGTTTAAGGGTTCCACCAATACAGTATGGTTCCACCTCATGTCTTTCACATATTTCTAAAGAAATAAATCTCTGGTGCCTTAAGGGTTTACTGAGTAATTTCGCAACATGTAAAAGTTTATGATGTATTCATTCCTGGCCACAGTCTCAGTTCAGACCAGGGTCATCAGTCTCCGCACCTGTAAACTGGAGCGTTTTGGAGCCAGGCGAAGGCTCGTGTCCAGGTCACTCACAGCCTCATCCACGCTCAGCTCACTGTCCTCGGAGTCCTCCGGGTCCTCCGGGTCCTCCCTCTCGCCCTCGTCTCCCGCACTGAGCTTCCTGAGGAGCAGCCTTCGGTCAAACAACGGGGAGTAGATGGACATGGGCCTCAGGAACCGCAGGTGGCCGACAGGGGGAGTCCCGTCATCAAGGAACACATCTGGGCTCCTGGGTTTGAGGGACTTGGGGCCCTCTGCGTCCCCAGAGAACAGCGTCTTGGGGCCCAGAGAACACTGGATGAGTTTGTGCACTCTGGCGTTCACCTGCACGCCACAATCCTTGGTGCTGGTTTTCTTGTTCAGTGGGACAGAGGGACTGGCCTGGGACAGGAGTGCCTTGCAGAGCTCCAGGTAGTTCAGGCCGTGCGGGACGATGAGGCGAGCCTCTCTCTTGGGCCCCGGGAGCCCACAGTAGCCCATGGGCGGGGAAGTAAAGAAGCCCTCCATCCTGGAGCCATGGGACCAGAACCAGTCTGCCCCGTCCCCGTTTATCGGGACCAGGGGACATGGGCACATGGGCTCCAGCTGATTACGGGATTGGAAACAGGAGCGAATTTCGCAAGAGCGGTGTTGGAGCGCCCCCTGCAGACACATACAAGCAACGACATGTTCAGGAATGTTTTTCTGTCAGATTTATAAAACAGACAACCATCCGCACTGGGCCCGTAAATCTACTCAAGATAGAGTCGTTTCTGATATTTTCCATTTCATAGACTGACTCTGTGTTCTCTGTGTTGGTGTCATCAGCCCAGAGAGCGGCCCACTGTGACGGTGTCAGAGCGGGTTCAGAACAGACTGTAATCCATGGTTCACTCAAACCACCGCCTGCAGAGCCTGTACGGCCTGTAGGTGGCGCTGCTCGCCCATACACGCTCGGGCCCCTGTGGGCGCTCAGGAGCCGCTCATATTGGCGCCATTTTGGAGCAGGAGGGGGAAGAGCTGCAGAAGAGGACACGACTGACCACATTTCACCGTTACAGGCAAGAGAACTCACTATAAACCTGTATATTCTATAAGATCATGGTGGGTAGGACCAGGCAGAGACCCCGGAGCCTCCAGTAGCCGACGTGTAGCTCCAGGCTGCGGGCAGAGGGAGCAGTGCCGCCGTCAGAGCCCTCTGTCCCCGCAGCCGTCAGAGCTCTCAGTCCACTCGCTCCACATGCTACAACTACAGCTAGCTGCTTTTTATCTGCATCTGAACCAGGCCTTCAGAGCGGATTCACTGGTCTTTGATTGACACGTACAAGTGTTTAAACGCACTGCTGACATGTGGGATATGTTTATTATGGAGTGAAGTGTGTGTCTGTCACTGATGCTGCACATGCTAGCGTTAGCTTTAGCTTATGGCAACACAATGCACTGGGATCGCTAGCTCCGAGGCTGCTACTGATGCTAATCTGATTAGCATCGGCTAACAACAGTAACGTTACAGTAATACTGCTGCTGCTGATCATCACATACTGTTGAATATTATAAGGACAGAACAGAGTGAAGCAATAACCTCCGAGTTAAAGACGAGGGTCGTAAATCCCACTAAAGCCTCAGTGTTGTGTTTCTGCTTGTGCTGCTGTTTGGACTCTTGTTATTGTGAAGAACCCACTGAACTGAGCCGCAGTGTTCAAGGCTGAATGAATGACTCTGTGACAATAATGATGTTTGTACAAGTGTATTTTATGAGGTCAGAGTTGAGACTGTGCCGCTGTGTGCAGATATCAACAACAAAAGAATATTAGAGCAGAGAGAAGGATGATCTAAAGCAAGAGCCTCGTGTTTTTGTTGTAGATTCACATTTATCTCTTTAGTAATGACTCATATCTACTGCTGTGTTTACATGTATTTGTAAATGGTAAGGAGAGTATTATTGTATAGCACAGTTCATACACAAGGAAACTCAAAGTAAAAAAAATCTGTTTTGTTACAATTTGTGGCTGGACTTTATGGCAAAAAATCATAATATCTAATGCATGGGTCTCCTAATATTCATAAATACATTCTTTTTTTTACTAATAAATGATGACGGATTGTTTTATGGGTATAACATTTCACAGCAAAAAAGATAGAAATTATCCATATTGGCAGGTTTAAAACAAGATTTAACTATGAAAAAATTACATTTACTCTTTGTGGTTGCAATAAGTCTAAAGCTCCATTGTATTTGTTTAAAGAAATGTGTTTTGGGCTCAATGTTTTTTCATTCAAATACTATTAGATCTTTCCTCTGATTATTCACTGAAAACACATGTTCTTTGTGCACTGCCTTGTTGTTTTAGCAATATGTAAGATATTCCTGTCAAGTCATCATTCATTTGCCCTAAACTTTCAAAAGGCATTCATAAATCATACTCTTAATAGAATTCTTCAGCTAATAACAGAAGTTCAGAGATATTTGAATTTCAAATCTAGTTTTACAGCCCCTAAATTTTGTTTTCTTTTTCATTTCGATGTCCGTTTCACCAATCAGAGAGTCCGTGATCCGGGCGCCCGAACTCACCGCGTCGAGCTAATCTCACTGGTACCATGTGGCGCAAAACTGAAAAAAGGTCTTGTTATGGTTCTCAAATCATTAACGACAAAACAAGGAGTAAAACCAGGATTTCCATCTTTGTGAAAAGGGTGTTGGTTATAGATTAATTGTTGACAAAACTCTTGTCTATTCAGATATTATGTCCCAGCTGTATTCGTCTGCATATCTGGCAACAAGAGTCAAGGGGGAGTTTTGACATATTGCTCGTTTAACACTCCCTCACTCACTGGGTTATATTTCTGAGTAGTTTCTTGCTGATGCCGGACGGTCTCAGGACAAAGACGCTCTGAGACTTTTGTGAACATTTCTGTGGTCGTCCTGCTCCCTATGGACCAATGGCTCTGATGTGTTTGTTGTGATTGCATTATCTGTGTTTGAACTGTTTGATTCTCTGATCTGTTGTTGGTGTATCCATAACGTTGTGAAGTCCTGAGACGAGGCTGTTGTGATTTAGGGCTGTACAAAAATACATTGAATTGAACTTACATTGAGCAACTTGGCTGAACTAAGAAACTCGTGCATCCTGACCCCAATTTCTTCGTTCTCATCCTGTCACCAATTCTTTCAAGTTTATCTATACCTATATCTATTGATTTACAATACACGTGGCAAGGTTGAATAAGTTAATTACATATTTGAAACTACCAGCAATATTATTAGGACTGGGAATTGGCAAAAATATGCCATAGAATATTTATGTCATATTATTTGAGCCACAATTCATACATAAAAGAAGTATAGTGTTTACTTTTTTAACATTATTTTGGATTTTTGACATTCATTTTATTTAACATGTTGTTTTCCAGTAGCTTTGGATTAAATCATAACTGGGCCAAATATATATGTAAAAAAAGGATGTAACTAATGAGCGATAGCTGAATATAAAAAATGCCTTCTAATTGCATGTTTAGTTTACATTTTTGAACAGATTCAATTTGGTGGTTTTCCTGAGAACTTAAATCTTTAAAATGAAGTATAACATGCCAGTCGCCCATTACCATCAGTGCTGCCAGTTACTGTGATAAAGATAATTGTAAATCATTTCAGGGGCCACTAAAAATGATCTTGAGGGTTTGACATGCCTGGACTAGAGTGACAAAAAGCAGATAGATGGATACTTTGTTGATCCCTGTAGAAGAATCCCATCCATCCATACAAACAGAACAAAATACATCGTTCTAAAAGTAGCTAACAATAAAAGCGTAAGATAAACCTCAGATGTGAATTATCAGAGTAAGCTTTGCTCTACTGCAGAGGTGTCCAAACATTTTAGTAAGAGAGCCTCTGTAGTTCATCAGACTTTCCCAGAGGCCAACAACCCGGATTGTCCTATGGATTTGGGTTCTAAGCTTTAGAATGAGCTGTAACAGAGCTAAAGCTGGCTGAATGATATGAATAATAATAATAATAATAATAATGATATGATAATGAATCACCAGCTAGATAGGTGACAGATTTTGTGACACAAGAAATGCCAGTATAGAGGTTCTTGTATGCGAACAAAACAAGCAGATAATGAAGAGACTAATGCAGACGGGAACTTGTACTTGTTCCCAAAAGACACTACCTCCGGAATTTGGTCCTGTCTTGTAAATCCAAAGTAGTCCCAATCAACTTTGGATTAGAGCAGAGAAAATGGTCCAGGCCTTGACATTAAGCTTTGTCAGCCACTTGCCCTTCGGGCAAGCACCATTTACAGCGCTTTTCCACAGCACCAGCACTACACCACTCTACACGACACGTCACGACCCGGTCGAGTACGCGTGCTTTTCCACATATCTCCATCGGACATCTTCAAGTGGGTGGGCTTTTCATACCACCGCTACCGTTACGTCATTTCCGCTACCGTTACGCCATTTCCGCGCGACTCACGAGCATGAAACCAGGAAAAACATTACATCCTCAAACAATGGAGGACTCCGACACGATCGTGGTGTTGCTGCTCTCTCTGTGGCTACTAGTCACAAATAGACTGAAAAGCCTGAGAAGAATCCAGGCGGCGAGACACCAAAGAATGACGAAGTTATTGAAAACCTTGCAGGAGTTTGCAGTTGAGGACAGGAGACAACGAGCTGAAAAAAGACGGCGTTTGTGGGTAAGCTAATATTGCTATCGCTAGCTTTGTAGCAGCCGTCCTGAACAAAATGGCTGCTGGCTGTCTCTGTAAATCATTAAAATGTGTATGCTGTATGTGTGTGTTTCAGATGCTTCTCGGGTTGCGTCGCCGCCGCAAGCCATCGGTGTGGGCCTTAAACCGAGCCTCCGAGTGGTGGGATATTGTAGTCCCAAGCTTCAACAACACGCAGTGGGTGCAGAATTTCCGCATGTCCAAAGAAACGTTTGATTACCTCTGCACAAAGCTGCGCTTGATTATGGAGCGACAAGACACTACTTACCGGGTATGTGTGCCCCTAAAGAAGAGAGTGGCTATCGCACTCTGGAAACTTGCTACTGGCTCTGAGTACCGAAGCATTGGTCACCTTTTTGGAGTCAGTATAACAACGGTGTGCCGCTGTGTGCAAGACTTTTGTGCTGCAGCAAATGCGGTGTTGGTCCCAGCGCAGATCCGTTGTCCTACTGAGGAGAAATTCAGGGAGATTGCTGCCTACAACGAGAACAGATGGGGGGTCCCACACTGTGTTGGTGCCATTGATGGATCCCACATCCCTATCATGGCTCCACAGGAATGTCATTGTGACTATTTCAACCGCAAAGGGTGGCATTCCATTATTCTCCAAGGTGTGGTTGATGGAAAGGGGTTGTTTTGGAACGTGTTTGCCGGATTGCCTGGGAGCTTGCATGATGCCAGGGTCTTGAGACTCTCTAACTTGTGGGAGTTAGCCTGCCGGGGAAGCCTCTTCCCAGCTCACACAACTGACAGACGAACAGCAACTATTCAACAGAAAATTCAGCAGAGGGCGGGTGGTTGTTGAAAATGCTTTCGGCAGGCTTAAAGGAAGATGGCGCTGTCTTCTGAAAAGGAATGACTCTGACACTGAACTGGTAAAGTCTATGGTGCTGGCTTGTTGTGCTCTGCACAATCTGTGCGAAAACCATGGAGAGACCTACGTGACAGAATGGGACACACCTGTAGCAACAGTTCAGCCTGTGGTAGCAGTGGCACAGGGTGCAGATGAGGGGGGCAGTGATGTTAGGGAGGGTCTGATGCGTCACTTTCTGTCCAATGTCTGAACATTTTGCCTGTTTTGGAACAACAAATAAACCTTTTTGTATTCAGCAAAAATGCCTTCTATTCATATTTCACTCCTGGGAAAGTACAGGTATTACTCATATAGGTCACATTACAGTCACCACTCACAGAACAGTCGCAGGAATATGCCATCTGCTGCAGATGCTTCCTGGAATACTCACAATGAAGAGCAATAATCCTAAATAAAATCAATATCCAAACAGTTATTCAAATCAATATCCAAACAGCCCAC